GATGCTGACCGGGGATCGCGCGTCAGACAAGCTCTCGGTCGTTGTCCCCTTCAGGCCTCCCATGAAGCCTAGTAAGATCTCAGCCTCCCTCACGCTCCACCTCTTCCAGGAGATCCAGGGGGGCCTGGGCAGGAGCGTCAAGTTCGAAGATCTCATGCAGTATGTGAAGAGCACCGAACGTGCTCGGACGCCCTGGGGCTCACGGACTGGCTGAAGCAAGGCGATGCTGCGGAGAGAGTTTCACTCCACATGTACCAACTCTCCTCTTGCCCAGTCCACCTCTGACGATGCTTCAGTTTCGGGAGCAGCAGCGGCTGGAAGGAGAGGGAGCTGCTGCTAGAGGACTTCCTCGTAGCCTTCGCGCACGTGTCGAAAGGTTAGCGGAGCCTCTGACAGCTGGAGGGTTGCTGACGACTGACAGACAAGCTCGGCGTTTCTCGCCCTTACAAGATGCCGCGGTGGAAGCAGAGCCTCCCCAAAATCTCCCTGCCCGCGGCAAGTGTAGCATAAGGGAGAAGGAGCAGAGCAGAGCATGGAGACGTACAAGAGCTGAAGGGTCACGCGCATCTCGCTGTTGATGCTCCTCGTGCTCTCCACCTGCAGCACGTCACCTTCCACCCTCCCCACAAGATCTCACCAGCTCCAGGACAACTTCCGCTTCCTCCTTCCTCCTCCTCCCCAGCGCCCGCTGAACGAGGAGGAGACTGCTGCAAGCGTGCTGGACCCTCGGTTCAAGCTCGAGCACACAGCAGAGCTCTTGTTGCAGCTGCTTCAATTCCTCCTCCTGTTGTTTCATTTTCTTCTCCTGTCCTTTCAAGTCCTCCTCCTGCTGTTTCAAAGTTTCCTCCAGCTGTCTCATCCTCCTCTGCTCGGTTCCCATCGTCTCCTCCAGCAAGCGGAGCTTCTCATCTCGTTCACGGATCTCCCTGCCCTGCTCCCGAATCGCTTCCTCTCCTTGACTCGACACCTCCTTCTGCTGTCGTAACTCCCTTCCCTGTCGGCTGATCCTCTCCTCCTGCTCCCGCATCTCCTCCTCCTGTTGATGTATCCTCTCCACCAGCTGATGTATCCTTTCTTCATGCTGAAGGATCCTCGCCTCCGCCTCCTCCTGCGCCCTGGCTGCTTGCCGCATCAGGCTCGACCGCATCTCCTGCATGTCAGCCTCCATCTTGGACCTCGTCTGCTTGTTCGCATGCATGCTGAGCAGGAGGCTCCTCCTCTCCCCCATCATCCTCTCCACCTCTGCCCGATCGCGGCCGGTGCTCACCTTCGCCTCCTCCACCAGCCTCTGCGCCTCCCTCAACTCCAGCAGCAGGCTCCCAACACAGCTCGTCCCCTCTGCCACCCTCTTCGTCGTGTGCTGCAGCTCTGCACCCAGTGCCTCCATCCTCCTCCCCTCCTCCTCCTCCCGCAGCACGACCTCTTCCGTGCTCCTCCTGATCTGCGCGAGCTCCTTCATCACGCCCCTGACCGACACAGCAGCTGAAGCCAAGCTCCTCCTCGCTGACTGCAACTCCACCTCCTGCATCCTGTAGCGGTAGCACTCCTCCTCTAGCGCCTCCACCTGCCTCTGACGCTGGTGAATCTCTTCACTCGCACGTTCCCACCGCTCCTGTGCATCTTCAAGCTCACTCTCCCTGCTCAGCATGCTCGCCCGCAGAGTCTTCGCCGCCTCCTTCGCCTCCTCCAGCTCTCGCCCCGTCCGTAAGCTCCTCGCCTTCTCCTCCTGCAGCTCTGCAATCTTCTCCTGCAGCCTCCTGAACGTCTCCTCCTGCTTGTTCGACTCCTTGACCACCTGAGTACGTAGACTCTCCCTCTCCTCTTGCAGCTGCTTCACCTCCTGCTCCCTCTCCTCCACCTCCCTCCTCATCTCCTCCACTTCCCTCCTCAAGTGCGAGCTCCTCTCCTCCAGCACCGCCACCTCCGTCCTTGCCTTGTGCAGTTCCATCGAGCTCGTCCCCAGCTGCTTGCTGGCCGCCCTCAGCTCGCCCTTCACCTGCTCCAGCTCCTGCTGACGGGCATGCTGCTGCTGCTGCTGCTGCTGCTTCACTCTCTCCACCTCGTCGTTGGCCGCCAAGAGCAGCGAGCGGCTGTCTGCAAGCTCCAGCTGAAGCTGCTCTAGCTCCTCTCCCCTCCTCCTCATCTGACCATCGAACTCGTCAGTGTCACTGGCAGTCGCTGCAGGGCAGGAACCAGCCCCGTCCTGCCCCAGGCGTGCGCGAGCGGAGCAGCCGCCCTCACCTCCTGGAAGTGCTCGAAGTTGGCCTGCGATGACGACATGGCCGCCTGCGCCGCCTGCGTCCAGTCTCCTGCTGCCGGCGTCAGCCCCGCCTCCTTCCCAGCTCCTCACTCGCCTTCCTTGAGCCCCTTCCCAAGCTGGTCGCGCGACCTCTTGCACTCCTCACCCGCAAACAGTACTTGCTGGTGACCCTGCTCAGCAGGCCCGAGACTTGACACCCCCTTCTCACCTGATAGATCAGCTGGGCTTGCTGCTCGACTTGCGAAGATGCCAGCTTCTGCTCCCCTCGATCAGCGATGGGGCGGGCATTCATCGCGCACCTCTCGGCGAATGACGGCTCCGCTCGCAAACGTCAGCTCGGCCTGTGGAAGGAGGAGGTAAGCGGGGGGCGTTAAGACACAGGCGAAGGAGGGAGGAGGGGAGAAGAAGGAAGGAGGGAGGGAGGGGAGAAGGAGGGAGGAGGGAGGGAGGGAGAAGGAGGAAGGAGGGAGGAGGGGAGAAGGAGGGAGGAGGGAGGGAGGGGAGGAAGGAGGGAGGAGGGAGGGAGGAGAAGGAGGAAGGAGGGAGGGAGGGGGGACAAGACAGGAAGAGGCCAAGGGGAGGAGGGTCAGGGGCGCGAGCACCTTGAGGCTTGCAAACTCCTTGGCGATGTCATCAGAGAAGGAGGAGAAGGATGATCGCAGGAGGGCGAGACGGGGCTTGAGGTGCGAGCATACTGAAGTGTTCCACCGTCGGCAGAACTTCTGGACTTTCATCTGAAGCTCCCGCCGCTCTCGAGCCCCTTGCTCCGCCTTCCGCTGGCGCGTCGGTCAGGGGATGTGCAGGGGAAGATGGGGAAGGGAAGGGAAGAAAGGAAAGGGAGGATAGAGAATTTTCCTCTGCCCACCTCAAACTCTTGCAGCATCGCCGCTCGTGCTTCTTTACTCTTGCTCTCCTCCTCCTTCAGCTGTCCTTCCAACTCCTTCAATTTCTTCTCCAGCTGCAACGCTGGGGTCACGGTTCCATCGCCCTCCCGGCAGGAGTCTCCTCCTACTCACCCCAGCACAGACGCTCTGCTCCGATTCCAGCATCCTCTTCAACCTTGAGTTTTCATCCTTCTGACCTCCGAGAGTTAGCCATCACCATAACATCATCATCATCATCACCACCACCACCACCACCACAACAACAACAACCGCCACAAACACCATCATCATCATCATCATCGTCATTGTCATCGTCATCGTCGTTATCATCAAATCCTCACCAATCTATCGTGCGAGCCCTTCAGATCCCGCAAAAGGAGCAGGTAGCGATGCAACGATGCGTCCAGAAACTCTTTCAAGAACTCCTCAAACCTGCTCCTGGGCTCTGCCCAACTCTGTTTGGATGGGGCAGGTGAAGACAAGAAATCTAGAAGTACAACTCAGCCAATGTCATACCTCACACACAGACATACCGCACGAGGCCGCCAGGGCGTCCAACCCTTCAGTCGACTTCGCCCACTGGTCTCTGAGCAGGGAAATGTGCTCTTCGTGCATCGTCTTTGCGATGCTCTCTACCTCACTCCTTCTCTGCTTTGCATGCGTTTCTTGGATAGCTTGCAGCCTCCTGTCCTTCTCCCTCAAGGTGTCCGCTAGGTTTCTGACCTCCTCCTCCATCTCTCTCTTCAGCCACTCTGACTCCTTCAGCTCCTCCACAGTCGACTGCAGCTTCTTCCTACGCTCCTCCTCCTTCCTCAGTCTGTCTTGGCAGCTCTCCAGCTCCTCCGAGATTCTGCCAGTCGCCTCGTCCATGTTAGCGCGGAGCCTTTCCAGCTCTTTCCGGTGCTTCTTCTTCATCGCCTCCTCCTCCTCCTTCATAGCCTCTACCTTGGCCAACAGACTCTCGTTCTCCTCCATGAGCTCCGCGATCTTGGAGCTCTTCGACTTCACTTCAGCCTTGTACGCCCTCGCCTTCCTCTTGAGCTCGCCGTCCCTCTCCAGCGAGTCCTTCACCGCCTGGGACAGCATCTCCTGGATCTCCCGCATCTCCTCCCGCAGGTCAGCCAGCTGTGCGTCTGAGGCTTCACATTCCGATCGGGCCCGGGAAAGCTCGTCCTCCAACCCCGACCTCTGCGACAGCACAAGGTTGTGGTCTTGCTCCAGCTTCTTTCTGCGGAGCATGTCAGTGGCGACCGAAGCACTCTCACGGTGACAAGGTAAGGATGAGGATGAGAACACACCTCTGATGCTGCTCATGCTCGTACAGTTTGTTCAACTGGATCATGGTCTCCTCCAAGTGATTGTACGAAACACACTTCCTCTCCAGTTCTGCTTCTACTGCCTCCAGCTTGCACTTGCAGGCTTGCAAGTTTGCCTGCAGTTGACGGGACTCTCTCTCATGGTCCACCTGCCTGTCCATGAGCTGTGAAGAAAAGTTCTGCCTGGATTCGTTGGGGTCATCCATCACCACCACTTTCTTGAGCAGCGAAAGTGCTTTCAGAAGCTCCCTGTCAGAGTCTTGCCTGAGCTCTTTCTCTTTGAACAAGTCTTGCTGCAAGTCATACAAGCTCCTGCGGAGGTTGGAGACCTCCGACAGGTCGTCCTTCTTCATAGATGCTCTGCTTCCCGAGAAGGCAAAATCCATGCTTGCCTTGGAAACCGATTCCATCTTCTCACAGATGAGAGCAAACAACAGACAAAGGAGCTTCTTCGAGGATACTTTCTTCGCTCTTTTCCTTCTTCTTCCTTCACTCAGTGCCTCTCCACCTCTCTCCCTCCTTCCTGCTCACTCTCCTTGTCCCCCCTCTCCCGCCCATGCCACAGAAGCATCGCGGGAGACCCACCATCAAATCCTGGCGTGGTGGTTTCAAACAAGTTGGACGGTTATAAGCTGCAACCGCCCGGCGCCCGGGTTTCCGAAGTCACTCGACTCCGGCGAGTCGCAGCGGGCCGGGCCGAGCCGCTCACACTGACGGTGGCACCGTCCAGGCTGAGTCCGAAAGCCCGGCCGCTGCCTCTCGGGGGGAGGCCGCACCGGCGCTTTAAATTAACCACTGAGTACTCGGCGGCTGTGACTCCGACTCCGAGTGAGGCTGGCCACCACTCAGTGACTCCAGTGACGATGCGGCTGCCAGGCTGAGTGAACCGTACGGTCGTTCGGGTCAGTGACTGAGTCATGCCAGGCTCGGATCGGGTCATGGCAGTGGACCGGGATCCGATGATCACTGACTCAGCCTGGCAGTGATCGGACTCCCGGCGGCGCAGTGAGGCTCACCGGGGGCAATGCCGCTACAGTGACGGATGATCCGAGTGATGGTGCCACAGATGATCCGACGATTTGACTTCCTCACTGAAAGTTAGCGGATCAGTCCTGGCACTCGGATCGGATCCGAGTCCGCCGCGGCGCGGCATCATCCATGAGTCGGATACTAGGCTATCGGACTCGAACTTTGAAGTCAATCGTCGGATAAGAGTTCATTTCACTTAGTCAAGTATTTATAATGTTAGCAGGATCAGACCACAAAAATTCAAAGGAAAAACTTAGATGCCCCCAGGCATCAATCACCACTACCTCAGTTATCAACTTAGTGTGCATTCTTAGCAAGGAACTCTTGGAGAGTCTTCTCATCACCAGAGATCAACCTGGCAATCTGCTTATTCTGGGCAGGTCAAGGTGATAAAGCGTACTCGTCCACTTTGTCGCCATTCTTGTACGCCACAAAGGTTGGCATGGCGTCAACTCCTTGCGAAACGGCAGTGCCCTGAACAATCCATCAGTGAGCTGACCTCTACCATGGTCTTCAACGACGCCACCTCGTTCTGGTCGATGTCCACAACAAGGAAGAGATTCGTTGCATATGTCTCTTCAAGTCTCTCGAACACAGGAGCTATTGACTGGCATACTTTGCACCATGAGGCCTTGAAGAGGACGAAAGCGTTCTTTTGCGATGCGACGTTGCACGAATGTAGCAGCAACATTGAATCAAAGTCAGAAATGTTCGATTCATACATAGATGATACAGAGACATCGAATCCCGTCTCTTTCCTACGTCTTTGCTAAGTTCAACGCAAGCACAACACATCAATTTGCTCATATTGTAGTCGTCACGATTTGATGCGAACTGCAACAGAATAATCCCATCCAAACATTCTTCACTTCATATCTTGTCACTAATCTCATCTCATCTCAGCAAAGATATTCATCGTATCGTCTCTCCAGCAGCATGGCGCTACCTTGCCCTTGATCAGACCGTCGAAGTCGTCTCTGTTCGTCGCTTCCTTCATCCCTCCCTTCTCCTCCACTCACTACCCCCATCCACTTATTACCCCTATTATCCCCTTAAATAACCACCCCTCATCAAAAACCACCCCTTTGTTTACGCACCCTTATTTGACTAGGATACCCCTCCTTGACTACCCACCCTCCTTTGATTGTACCTATGGAATGACTGCCCTAATGACCCCCACCATCCTTTTTCAAGCTCTACCGGTGGATATACTAAACCCACCCTCACTAGCACGGTTCTAAAAACTATCAAGCACCCGTCCTTCCGTGACAGTACCCACCTTCTGGCCACCTAAAGCTTTCTCCACCCCTCCCTTGAAGGGAGAAGTTGACTACTAGCATCCTATAGTCGTAGGTGGGGACTACCCCGGTAGAATTGCTCGATATGTCTCCCACCCTGGCATGGACCACCTGATTCCTCCCCCGCCACCCGGCCCGGCGCCGGGCCCGGGCGAGTGACTGAAACCAGTGGCACTGACCACTGAACAAATCAAATCAGAATTAACAAGATCTTTAATCGTAATAAGAAGGCTTTTAATCTCGGCTGGAGGATTAAGCATTGCACAGACCGCTGGGACAGCGCAGCGTGGCGCTATGGCGGCGTATGCGGCAGGTAAGGCTCTACACATCCGCCTCCTCCCCCTTCCCTCCTATCGCACATCCATGCTCCGCTGTGATAAGAAGGGAAGGAGAAAGTGTGTGCGCTGTTGCCATGAGAACTGTTTCCTGTCCCAGCTGCACCTTCGTTCTAAGAATTATGTCTTGGCATGAACGAAAAGTTGTTTGGTCTACCTTCCTTTCCCTCTGCCTTGAAGAATATAGATATCGAGTCTCTTCTTCTCCTCCAACTCGATGGAATACATCAACAAACATTTCAACATGTTTGCCTACCCCTGCTGACTCCTTCCTCAACCAAGTCTACTGGAGCTGCTACGATTTTCACGAATGCATGTGCTCATGTTGCATGATAAGATATTCGATTGTCTTGAATGTTCGAAGATCATCTGTTCTTCTTGAGTTGTTCATGTACCCTTGTTAGGACAGATGTGCTAAACCCGAAGCCCTGTCGTCCCATACCCCAACAAAGTATTAGCAGCAATCATGTAATTCATGCTTGGTAGCAGCTCTCCTGGGGATGCTGGCATCGGCGTGGGGCATGAAGCAGGATGTGATTTCTTTCCGAGCTCCCTACAGCAGCGGAAATGTTCCCGGATGGGTCGCGATGGGGTCGAGCGTCGTCACAGAAACGTTCATTCGCCTGACGCCATCGGAGGCGGGGCATGAAGGAGCGCTGTGGAGCCAGCGGAAGATGCCGTACAGGGAGTGGGAGCTAGAGCTCACGTTCAAGGTGGTAGGAGCAAGATACCTCGGGGGAGACGGGTTTGCCATCTGGTTCACGAAGCAGTCCGAGGGGTTCGGGGGAACGTTTGGGAACCGCGAGGATTTCCAGGGGGTGGGGGTGGTGCTGGACACGTACGACAACGACGGGAAGAGGGACAACCCGTCCATCATGGCGTTCAGCAGCACAGGAGATCTGCGATTCGACCATGACAGCGATGGGCGGGAGCAGAAGCTGCCAGGCGCCCAGTGCAAGCTCGGGTTCCGCAACTCGCGCTCGCCGGTGATGTTGAGGATCCGATATCAGGACAAGACCCTCACGGTAGAGCATGACATCCGTGGGAAGGCCTCGTACACTCAATGCTTCAAGGTCGGCGTTGAGATGCCTGACGAGTATTTCGTTGGCTTGTCTGCCCATACTGGGCAAGTCGCCGACAATCACGACATCTACTCGCTAGAGGTCACTAGCCTCGAACCCGCCACGCCGCATGACGATCAGCAAGCTCCTTCTCCTGTCGCTGAGAGCCCGAAGCAAGAAAAGTCGGAGCACTTCCCTCACGAGTCTGCCCAGGAGCAGCACGAGTGGCGACGCGACGACGACAGGCACCTGCAACGATTTGCGGATGCGCTACAGCGATGGGTGGACATGCCTGCGGTTAGAAAGGATGAAGTCAGAAAGCTTCGAGTTGACAGCACCAAGGGGAGTGATGTACAGGACATGAAGGAGGTGGTGGACAACGAGCTGGTCGATAACGTTCCGGAGGAGGCGCCCGCTAGCCCCGAGAGCAGCAGCCCGGCTGCGGAGCCTTCACCCGCCGCCGACAGCGACCTGGAGTCATCCAGTTCCTTCAAAAACGAGGTGAAGGAGACGCTCGGCCTGATTCAGGCGGAGATTCGGCAAATCGCGCATGAGATGCGGGGGACCATCACTCTCGCGCACGCCGTCTCCTCCCAGTCCGGCGAAGAAACCAACGCCGGGGGCTCCGCGCGCTCGGCCTCGGAGCTGCTGGTGGACGTCGGGGAGATTGTGATGAGGTCGGAGAAGTCAGTGGTCAAGGAGATGTCGCTGAGCAGCTCGGGCATGAAGCAGCACCTGGACGAGGTCAAGAGGGACCTTGCGAGCCTCCAGGCGATGGTGCAGAACACCCTGATCAAGAGCTCCCACGACGCCCTCGCCAAGGTCCTCAACCTCCAGAACGACAACCAGAAGATCCTACATCTCCTCTCCGAGATCCATCAGCGACGGGTGAGCGATTCGTTTCCTTTCAATCCCTCCCATCCCTTCTCCCGCACACTCCCTTCCAGGCCCCCCCCCCCCCCCCTTCTCCTAATCCCTGACACCTTTGGGGTTTGCCCAGGCTGGGGATGTGGCGGGCCCGAGGGAGCATCCCAGGGATGCTCATGTTGACACGCTTCACGAGAAGAGGACGTCGTCGGGGGGAGTTTCCTACACAATTTTCCTTGTGTCGCAGATCGTTTGGATAGGGATTTTGATTGCTGTCAACAGCTTTGGGAAGAAGAAGGATGGAATGGTGAGACCAGCTCCCCCCTCTCCTTGCCTGTCCTGCTTTCTCCTCGCCTTCCTCTTCTCCTCCCATTGCCTGTTCGTCTTGTGGCCCTGGCTGACGTTGGTATACAGGATTTCCTGCCAATGTCGGCGAAGAGAAGTGTGTGATTTGTGAGTGATGCGGGTTGTAAAGGGAGGCAGCAGACTTAGTAAAGTGCGTTAACAAAACCTTCTGTGAATGAGGAGGAGGAAGAGGAAGAGAAGGAGGGTTAAGATCGTGTATGTGCGGATGGCGTAATGATGGCGAAAGAACTGGTGGAATAACAATGGACTATTTCGATGAGGAGGGGACAGCCTTCTCCCTCCCCCTCCTTCTCCTCCTCCTCCTCCCCCTCCTCCCTTACCCTCCTGGATCCAACAGGGAATCGTTCCTGGTAGAATTGGTTGATGACCGTGTTGATCTCATGGGGACATAAACAAATTTTCACAACCTACATGACCAACAACCTCTACGTCCTCCGCAAGCGTCATCCCCCTCCCCTCCCCTCCTTACGGCAGCTCCGTCCCCATCCGCTGTCTCTCTGTCCACAGCAGCCCCTGCTCCTTCCGCTCGACAGCCACGTGAAATTCCTGCGGGCGCTTCTCAGCAAGGGAGGGTGAAGGAGTGCAAGGCAGCTGACTTGATCCATGGAGACCTCCCGGAGCTCCTCAGGACTCATCTTGCAGACCTGCCGGGGCCACAAGGTCAGGGGAGGAGCAGGAGGCGTCCCAGCAGACCAGGGAGGTTCCAAGGAGGAGACTTCGCGCTTTCTCGGCAGTCTTCCTGCCCACGACGCTCAGAGGGTTCGTTGAGATTGTCCTTCCTCTTTCACCTGTTCTCCATCGACACTTGCGAGTTGGCTCGGAAGCAGACCTTGCGCAGCTGGCAGGCGGTAAGCATCGCCCATGGAACCCTCCATTCTACCTCGTCTATCGCCTCCTTGCTCCTCGCTTGCCCATTCACCTCCATCATAGATAGCAGCCCGAGCCTTTCTTCCTGCCCCACTGGTCAGTCGGGAACCCCCTATCCGTGGACCTCCGCACGTCTTCCGCTGTCGGCCTCCCTCGGTACCTCGAGCCGAACGCCGGGTCAAGCTCAGGAGCATTCAGCCTCTCGATCTCCCGCTGATTCTCCTCCTCCATGTGCTTGCTCTGCAGGACCGATCCGTGCAACTCAACGATCCGCTGGATCTCCTGCCTCCTCAGTCACGTTGAAACTACACGCTCCTGGAGTTTTGTACCTGCTCTTCTACCAGCCCTCGACCATGCTGGTACTCTCTGTCATACCTTGTCCTCCTCAGCACCTCACGGTCAAAGTTCCCTTCCTTCAGCATCCTCCTCCTCTCCCCCGCTGTTAGCTTGGCTCCGTTTCGCTCATGCGTCCTCGCAGTGGACGCGTCCCCTTCCAGACCATCATAGCTGACTCTCGATGCCTCCTTGATCTTGCTCAGAGCCTCCTGTCTACGCTCCTCCCTCATCGTCGATCTGTTCCTCGTCCTTCGAGGGGCTGCCAGCACGAACGGACTGGTCGGCCTCCCCGTCGATCGCGCGTCGATCTCGATCCACCTTGCGCTTCCTTGCTTGTTCCATGCAAGGAACTTGTCCTCTCCTGCCTGGCCTTTCCTCCTCTCCCTCCCTCCCTCCTCCTCCTCCCCACCCCCTGCCTTCCTCCCTCTCCCTAACGCTCCTCCCATGGTCAACTTTGACTAGCGGAGGCTGCCTCAGAGCAATTTCTTTCCATGAATGGCACCGAGAGTTGCCAGGAGCGACGGGTGGAGGGGAAGAGAAGGAGGAGCAGGGAGCAGGGAGGTCGGGAAGGATAGGAGGAGCAGGGAGGAGCAGAGGTACGGCTCCTGCACGGACGAAGACCATGAGAGCTTGTAGGAGTTGATGGGACAACGACGAAGCTCCTGTGGTAGTATCATGCCAGCAATCATCATGAGCACGGTAGGAGAGAGGCTGGAGCAGCTCAATGGTTCAAGGGTGCCTATGATGATGTTGTGGCGTCCCAACCCCAAAGACATAATCGCCGGTCGAGCCGACTTCGGCAGCGGCAAGCATGTTCGGCTCAGGGAGGACGGAGTGTGCGCGGGAGCATTCGACCCTACTTGGCAGCTGCTGGGCCAGCAGCTGGCCAGCTCAGGTGAACCTCGTACCGCGAAGTTTTGCTCAGCATCAGCCTGCCATGTCTCGCACTGAGTTAGCACCACAAGGGCGACACTTGGCAGTTGCCAGCAGCATCGGAGCCTCGCAGCAACGCACTCTCAGGCTCAGTCTTGCCTCTCCTGTCTCGGATCCTACGGGCGGAAGCTCACGAGTCAGATGTTCTCCACTGACCTCTTCATCTGTCAAGTCGCCGGAGCAACTGGCAAGTAGACGGCCGCTGAGAACAGCCCACTGCCATCCGATCGCACCGTGTCTTCGTCTTTACTCAAAGCACTAGAGTCTCTCAGTAGTGCCACCCGGTGACCGGCCGGGCACTGCATCATAGTACTATGATGATACACTGACCGTACTCTGTGAGGGTCAGGTTCTGCCTCGCCGTACCAGGCTGATGACGAACGGTGACCTGTTCAACGGTTTCAGCACCCGGGCGTCTTTTACTCAAAGTTAAGTTCCGGGCGTGGCTAGTAGGCTCCTCAGCGTCCGGGTATCACACCGTGAGCCGCGGCCCGGCTCTCAATGACTGATTTGGACAGTGTGACCGACCGGCGCAGCCCCCGGGGGCCCGCCGTTGGGAGATCCGACGAATGGAAGTTCCCACTGGTCCCTCGGATCGTGCGCGCCCGGCGGCTGGCTTCACAGGGGGAGTCACGTGACCGGGCCGGGTTTACTTATCATAGTATATGCTCCTTGTTAAAAAAAACTTGACGGGGAGTCCAGCGGTGGCAATCGGTTGGATAGCGACCGTTCATTGCCAAGGGGTTCTCCGAATAGTCGCATCTCAATATGGGCGTCTCCCTTCACCGATGTTCAAGTAGGACCCCTCGGTCCTACTAGGCTAGTGTGGTGTATCTCAACGTTCTTTACTACAGCTCCCTTCCCCCGGAGGTCCTGACCAGGAACCCCACCCCCTACCCCTCCATCGACTGCCAGCGGACACATTGCTGACTCATGTCCCAGCGAAGTAAACTTCTTTGGCTGGTGGGGTACTAAATCCGGAAATAGACGGGGGTACTGGCGGATTCAAATCGGATGTATATTTAGGGGTCCCTTGGTGAGGGTATCCCTACACCAGCCGGGAAGGGACAGTGGAACATTAACTTCGAAGGTACCCCTCCACCCCCACGTGAACTACGGAAGTGGTCCGAACACGTCAGTTTTAACGTTGGGGTGGGGTGGAAATTGATAGATCATGGGTAGTCTGCACAGTAAAGTGAAGGGAAAAGCAGGGTGGGGTAATGAATCATCCAAATTTCTTCAAGTTCGATGGAAGGCTACGTGGGGTGGGGTACAGGGGTGGGGGTAAGTTGACAGCTGGCGAAACTTATTTAGCACAGTGTGGTAAAGACTGTTCCTAGGAAGGGGCAAAGGGGTGGGTCAAACAGAGGTGATGGGGTGGATATGAAGGGGTCTTCTACCCTTCTGGGAGTGGGAAACGGGTGGGTAATTTCGTCTGGTTAATTTTCTGATAGGGTGGGTAGTCAGGTCGGCAGCGAACACCCGGAGAAAGGGGACCAAAATAAAGCACAACTCGAAGCCATTCGAAAATGCCTGAACGCATGGCGGAAGGGGCGAGGAGAGGGAGAGGAGGAGAGGAAGAGGCAATGAAGGCATGATCGAGATCAAATGTGAGGATGGAGAGAGAGAATGGAGATGGAGATTGAGACCTGAGTAGCTGCTGAACGTCTCGAATGAAAGAGAAGAAAAGAAGTGCACGTGGGGTTCGTGCCACAGTCCGGCCTGATGATTGTTAGGATGGTTTAAGGAAGGATATGAGGCGTAGAATTGTAGAGCGATGGGAAATTAGAGTCGTATCGTCATATATGACTTTGAGACTCGATTCAACTTCCATTAGGTCTCTTGCTGGGAGTCCAAGAGGAGAATTTTTGATCGTGCAAACGATTCAGTTGCTGAATCTTTGATTCTTCAGGTCAAAAAATCACCACCTAGGATCTAACATTCTTGGCCGGAAATCGGAGATGTGCAAAGGTAAGACCGACTTTTGTGTATGCTGGAGTTTTCACTGTATCTGCAGCCGGCAGCTGCCTTGAGTGCTTGAAAGTCAGCTCACACGACCTGTCTGTTAGCAAGTTGAACTTGTTTGGAGAACATTTCTCCCGCAGCTTTTCCTGCGGGGATGGCAACGACGAGCCCGAACAGGCGAGGTGCATGCACCTGACACGAAAGAGAATGTCCCTGTCCATCTCCAACATCGACCTGAAGTCATGCGCTGACTCGGAGAGCATTTCTAAGGACACAGTATTCTCTCCCGTTGGCAGGCCCAACAGGGAGGAGTACAAGGCGTACGAGGAACTCGTCAAGAGCTCCAGCTGCAGCGATTCTCCTCTCTGTTCTCCAACACACATGAGGCCAAGGATGGACAACGTGGGCGGTTTCCTAGTCGGCACCCCGAAGCAGGTTGATTTCTCCTCCAGGAGCTTCCGAACGGCGCCGATCAGCGTGCAGGGGGTTCGGCAGGTTTGGATCCGTCTTGAGCTGAACCAGAGGAAGCAGACGCTGGTGGATTCCTGTGGCAACGGCAACCAGAACTGGTTCGAGCATGCAGTCAAGTTTGACCTGTCGGCCGTTCTAGAAGTTCATCCCGACCGGATCCAGATTGACCACGTGATGGAGAAGGGCGACAAGACGTTGATCGAGGTCAGGCTGATAGAGAGCGGAACCAACTCGGACCGTCTCGACGTCGCGCATGTCGCCGAGCAGCTGTTGTGGCAGGTGTCTCGCAACATGTTTGTCAAGAACACGCTGGGGTACAAGTCCATAAGGGAGATGATCATGAAGGTGGACGTCAAAGACAGAGCTCCTAGAAACTGGTCCAAGTACTTGTTTGTCGGATGCCTCCTGGTGCTCCTCTCCGCCATGCACCTCTCCATGGCCTTCAGCTCGATCCCCGCCGTCGGCATGCGATCGAAGGCCTCTATGCCCTCTCAGCTCCGGAGAAGCGAGTTTGTACATTCTCCCTTGGCTATCAGGGATGAAAGTTTCACCCTGCAGAGCAGAGCGCGAAGACCCGTCGGAGCCCTCAAGATGCTGGAGCCCTTCACGATCACCACCCTGCTGCTGGTGGGTGCGGAGAAGGTCATGACGACCAAGTCGGCCGAGAGCAAGTCGGAGAACAGGATGGAGCTGAAGGCGGAGGCCAAGGAAGGGATAACGAGGGGACAGGCCAAGGAGCTGCGAAGACAGGAAGGCATGACCGCCATGCAGGCGACTTCTGGACAGCGCCCAAAGAGATCGCTCAAGCGATCCCACACGCTTGCCTCGCGCACCATCAGGTCCCTTGCTCGCTACGTAATGAAAGACCCGGTATGCGCGACCGACACGCTCTTCAAGTCTGCGACTAGGACGTTGGTGCAGAGACGAGTGATGGAGGAGGAGTATCCTGCTGAGGTTGCAGTGTTCGACGACATCACTGAGAACTTGCTCAACACGCTGGATCAGAAGTCTTCGCTCATCATGCATGGGGGAAAGGTGTACATGAAGATCAGCCATATCGTCGATCACGTGGTCAACCATCTAACGGCCTCGGAGATCCACACTCTCAACTCGCTCGCTCACGTCACCCATTTTCCAACCGGGCTAGGACATTTTGCGGTTGTGTCAGGATTTGCGCTGGCCGCCTTCATGGCAGCGTTTGTTGTAAATGAGAACCCTCTTGACTGAAGACTTTTTTTGTTTGTAATCTTTACAGTTTTTAGTAGTTGTGTAAAAAGAAAAGACTTTGATACATCTGCTCCACCAATCAAACAACATGTAGTTGCCCTCAAACAACATGCAGTTGCCTTGAAACAACATGCAGTTGCCTTCAAACAATATGAAGATGTTTTCAAACAACATGCGGTTGCCTTCAACCAATATGCAGTAGCCCAGGTCATCATTGTAGTGGAGGTTGAGACTTGAGCGTGCTACCACTGTTCGTTCCGAAGAACCCGCTCTGTGAAGCGTGAGAGGTCATGGCTGCAAGGAAGCTCGTCATCACTTCTTCACGCACAAGCAAGTCTTCACCTCCTCCTTCCGCCCTCTTGCTCGGCCTCCCCGCAGCCTTGGTCGCTGGTTGTCCCGCCGCTCCCCATCGCGCGTTGGCCGCCTGGTGTGCCGCCTGCTTTTCGACCGCTGCCTCTCGCACCTTCACCTTGCCGACGACCCCCTGGTCGTATCCGTCCTTGACGATCATCTACTGCCATGTCAGGGGAGGAGAGCACAAGGTTGCACAAGAACTCACCGCAAGGTCCCTGAACCGCTCCTCGATGTACCTCAGAGCAAGGAAAGGATCCTTGGTCTCCTGCTTCGGACGCGAGTCTGCCATGTGCGTCGCTCTGCACCTGTTGAAGAGGTTGAAGATGGCCATTTGCGACTCTCCCAGCTCTCGGATCCCGTCCTTGACCTCGTCCTCGCGCGTCGCCTTGTGGGAGTCAGCGATCACCGTCTCTATCCTTGCCTTCTCCAGCCTCTCCTGGTGCTCGGCAATCTCACTGCTCTTGACGAGAACCTCGTTCTGCAGCCGCTTGGTCATCTGACTGAGGTGGTGGCGGTACGTCTCCGTGTCGTCTATGTTCTTCTGCACCATCGTCTGCAGGTCGTCGTTGGTGGCACTTAGAGTCTGGTAGCGCTTCAGGATATCTGAGACCTCCGTGAAGTCCTCGCTGTGCTCGACCACCTTCTCCAGGTACGTCTGATAGATCAGATGCTCGTCCAGCCGCGACCTTGCCAGGTTCAGCTTGTCGTTGATGTTGCGGCACTCCAGCACAAGGGCCTCCGCCTCCTTCTCCTTCCCCCTCCTGATGTTCACCTCGTCTTGCGCTCGTTTCAGCGCTCTGCTCCTCTTGGCATCGTTCTCCTTGAGGAACAGTTGGAATTTGGCCTCCTCGGACTTGAGCTTCTGCGCCTTGATGGCAAGAGTCTCCTCCTTCTCCTTGCACTTCGCCATCCTCTCGTGATGCTCGGCCTTCTTCAGGTCCAGCTGCTGCTGCACCTCTTGCATCTGCTCCATCCCCGTCACTTCACCCCTGGCATGCGTGGTCAAGGCCACAAACCTCTCGGTTCGCCTTGAGCAGCTCAGTGCTCTGAGAAGACTGGTGCGACATGTCGGCGATGCTCCTGTTGGCGCTGCAGCAGAAGCGTCACGACCAAGGCAGTTGGATCACATTCAGCCCCTCACCTCTCAATCCTCGGCAGCTTGACAGTCTTGTGCTGCTTGCTCGTCACGTTGGCATTCTACCAGCAAGTCAGCCCCGGACACAAGGGCAGGCGCCTCGTCTCGCTACCTGCGTTATGAACATGCTCTTCTTTCCTGTGCTGATGGGCTCGATCGTATTCATGTCTAGTTGCTCCGCAGACATCTCCTCCTACTCCGTGCCGACACTCGACTGCTCAGCTCAGGCACAGTCAACTCGTGGGCGTGACACTTGGAGGAAACTTGACGGCTCGTGCCTGCAGCCTGAGGCTCCTCGTCGACTAGCTGAGCCTGCAAGGTGTTCTGCTCTAGTTTCTTTCCAGGCTGCGTTGACAACAGACAGGGAGACTTGATCGACAACCTGATGGGATTTCGAGTGAAGGTTATGATACAAGGTATGATACGGCTGAATATGGTTTTTCGCCGTCCGTCAGCACGGTCAGCAGCTCCTTGTCGCCTCAATCCCTCGGTTCTCCTCCTCCTCCTCGTCTCTTCCTCTCCTCTCGCCTCCCTCCTCCTCTTCCTCTCCCTCTCGGCATCGAGCCGCTAGTCCACGCCTGCCCTGCACTCTCAAACTGCCGCCCATCTGTGTATCGAACGGAAAAAAACTTTCGTTGAATATGTTCTAATCCAACCCGCCTCGCTGTAAATTATCGTAGTAAAAGCTTTTGACTAAAACTTGTCAAAAAGGCCTTCCACCACCAGACAACGGCCGCCTGGCCCTACCGTCTACCCTGCCCGCCTCAGTAAATTGAATGAGGAGGGATGAGGGGTCGCACCAAGAAATCGGGGCCATGTCGGGGCGGCTTTGGGGGGCGGTCGGCCTGCTGCTGGCCATGGCGGTAGGGGAAGTGAGAGGTATGATGGGTGAGCGAATGCTGAGCATGGGAGAGAGACAGCCGACGAGGAGAGGATGCGACGCTTGGGATGCGCTGCTGTGCTTCCACTCGGCTGCACCAGGAATGTTTGTGGGGAGGATAAGGAGGGGAGGTGCCTTGGGATGCAGGAGGAGGATCTCGGTTTGCATGCAGCAAACTGTTGACAACGAGGAGCAAGTGAAGCAAGTACGGAAGAAACCGAAGCAGCAGGAGCGATCTACGGGCGAAGATAGGAGGATGCGGCTGCGAGCATGGATGGCATCGCAAGATGCTGAGGAGGTCTTGCTCGCATGTTTCTCGGCATGGCGTGAGGCGTTGAGCTCTCGCAGGTGGTGCCTGCTCTGAGCGATGTTCAAGTTGTTCTCCTCGGTACCAAACGCACGGTGACCATCGGGATGGTCGCAAGGGCCTGTGCAGGTACCTCGCCCCTCACACTTTATGTAGTGTTCCTCCCTGTCGACGTCCTTCCCCCTCCCTCCCCTCCCTCCGCCTTCTCTTACTCACGTGCTCGGCAGCGTTCGAAGTAGGAGAGCTCACGTTTGTGCAACCACGAGCAAACGTCTTGCAGCAGTCCGCCATCCGAGCGTCGAGAGGAGCGCTGCAGCATACATACGGGTACCAAGACATGAATCAGAAGAGAAGGGCTGGGGGTGCGAGGAGGGACAGGGAGGGGAGGGGAGGGGAGGGGAGGAGAGGAGAGGAGAGGAGAGGAGAGGAGAGGAGTTGCTCGTGATGACGGTGTGGACAGGAACGGATTGAGATGGCGGGAGTGCGAGACGCTAGAGGAGGCAGTAGGAGGCAAGCAGCCTCTTGCTGTCGATCCTCTTCCCTTCCCTTGTGACGTATTGAGTAGAGGGCAACTGCGTGATCGTGATGACGAGGATAGCGGAGGAGGAGGAAGAAGCCGAGGCAGAGACGTCGGAAGAGGAAAGAGATGTCCTTGCTGATATGAAGGTGAGGGGGGGGTGAGGATGAATAGGAGGGGAACACGAGGGCGAGGGAGAGGAGGGCAAGGGGGAGAGGGAGAGGAGGGGGAGGGAGAGGGGAAGGAGGAGGAGAAGAAGATGGGGAGGGGGGATGCTTCTGACATAGTCAGCAGAAGCTGTTTGGGGCAGGCGAGCTATCAGGAATGTTTGCGGAGATGAGAAGTGAGGATTGATGGTTTGCCGAGCTGGGCCTGAAGTTTGAGATGGAAGGGGAGGCGGAGACGTCAGGGTCGCGGCTCTGCCTTGTGTTTGGGAGGGAAGATACTGGTAAGGACAAAGAACATCCTGCTCAATCGATGGTTCAATTTCCCTCCATTTTCTCCTTCCTCCTGCTCCCGTGTACCTCCTGCCCCCTCCTTTATCTTGCTCCTTCCCTCCTTCGTTACTCTGCTCTCTGAACCCCCTCCTTCGTCTCCGCAGCACTTCCTCCCTCCTCTCCCTCGTCTCCGCAGCACTTCCTCCTTCCTCTCCCTCCTCTCCGCAGCACTTCCCCCTTCCTCTCCCTCCTCTCCCCTTCTGATCTCATTTCGCTCTCCTCACCCATCTTATCTTGCCAGGGTTTCTTCCTGGAGAGTTACAGGCCCTCGACGCCGACGGCGTCTGCTCTATCCCGATGAGCTCCAGATGGGGTGAGAACGACGAGGAAGCGAGGGAGGGATGATGATGATGATGATGATGATGATGATGATGATGATGCTGATGATGATGATGGTGGTGGTGGTGGTGGTGGTGGTGGTGGTGACAGTGATTACGATGATGGTGAGCATGAGCAAGTAGACGACGGCGATGACGATGACCATAATGGTGATGATGATGATGCTGATGATGGTGGTGATGATGGTGATGATGGTGGTGGTGGTGATGATGATTACGACGATGGTGATGATGAGCAAGTAGACGACGGTGATGACGATGACCATAATGGTGGTGGTGGTGATGATGATGATGAGCTGAAGGGTAGGGGCAGGGGGAGGCAGCAGAACGAGATGACGAGATTCTTGCAGGCACGGAGTCTCTCTCGCTCGCTCAGGCGGTTCCTGTCGTTCTTTCTCGTCTCTATGAGGATCATTGCAAAGATCATAGATAATCAGCCGGCTGCTGCTGCTGCTGCTGCTGCTGCTGCTACTCCTGTGGAAGAGGAGCTGAAGGAGGAGGACGAGAGGACTGGGGAGGATGAGAGGAGAGGGTGTTTGTGGGGAGGCAGAATGGGGAGGGTTTGCAGAGTAACGAGGAGGAGGAGGAACGAGGTCAGCCGCCTCGTTCTTTTCTCGCCCTGCCGACGTTTCCTTGATGAATTGCTTGAGTGATTCGGATATGAACCATGCTTGCTCCGCCTGAGACCTCGAGTGAGCGATGGGGGAAGGGGAGGGAGCGAAGAACCAGGAGGAGGGGAAGAAGGAGCGGTTGAAGGAGAGAGGAGGGAAACAATGTTGCTCGAAGGGAGGAAGAGAGAAGGGCGGGGGACACGGGAGGAGAAGAGGGGAGGGGAAGGCAAGGGAGGGCAGGGGAAGGCATTCTATTCACCGACCTTGATTTCTGCTTTCTGAATGTGAAGATCGAACCCCTCCAAGTGCTTGTCCAGCTGCAAGAAACTCAAGAGACAGCAACGGAGCTGTGTGAGAATCGAAGAGAAAGAGGAGGGAGGACGTGGAGCGGGGGGAGGAGGGAGGACGTGGAGCAGGGGGAGGAGGGAGGATGGGGAGGACTGGGGTGGGAGAGGAAGGGAGGAGGGAGAGGAAGGCACTCGTTGCTTACCTCCTTCTCCCTGCTCTCTTCCTCGTAAACTCCCCAGCGATTCATCAGGCTGCCATTGGAGAACTCCGACAGGCAGTACACCCTCCTCCCGAAGAAACTGATGGTCTCTTTCCCCTTGCCGCTCCTCCTCCCGTTGCTCCAGCCTCCCTTGTACTCTATGCCGTCGCCCTGTGCACGCCGTAACTCCCCGCTCCCTGCTCCTCCTCCGTCCTCCTCCTCTTGCACGTTCATTGCTCCTATCCCTCTCCCCTCTCCAACTCTCCACTCACTCTCCTTCCCTCTTCCCCATCCTCCTCCCCTCCGCCTACCATGATCATTCCCTTGCCGTGCCGCAGGTCCTCTACAAACTGTCCCTTGTAGACGATTCCTTCCGGATAAACTTCAACCCCGTACCCGCTCGGCTTGTCGTTTACCCACTGACAGAAAGTGAGAGGAGGACACAAACCTACTGCGCAAGAGCGAGCAGTCATGGTGGGATGAGGAGGAGGATGAGGATGAGGATGAGGAGGAGGATGAGGATGAGGATGAGGATAAGGAGGAGGAGGAGGGGGAGGAGAAAGGGAGGGAGAAAGGGAGAGGGAGGGAGGGAGGGAGGGAGAGAGGAGAGAGAGAGGGAGGGAGGGAGGGAGGGAGGGAGGGAGAGAGAGAGGAGAGAGAGAGAGGAGGGAGGGAGGGAGGGAGGGAGGAGGAGAGAGAGAGAGAGAGAGAGAGATGAGAATATCGGAGCACAGAGAAATAGATTGCAGAATCTGCTTGCCGACTTCCCCTGCCCAACCATCCTCTCCTCCTCACCTGCCCGTAGTACGTCACACCGTCTGCAAACTCCAGCACCCCGAGCCCGTGTCTCCTCCCTTGGCAAATCTCCCCGCAGAAACGCTTCCTCGAGTCCCCATCCTCGTACTTGATGTCTGCACACTCGTTTCTCTTGTCTGTCAGCGCCAACCACTGCAGCGCCTTCTCGCTGATCCCCTCCTCCTCCCCGTCCCTCTCCTCCTCCTCCTCCCTCCCCTGCCTCCTCTTCTCCTCCTTCTCCCCGTCCTCCCTGCGAACGACCCTCCTGCTCTCAACCCCGATGCTCACACCGCTGTGAACTCGGTTGGGGATGCACTTGAAGGAACAATAGAACCCAAGTTTGCTCCGCACGTTGAGGTCCGGCGAGGACGCGGACGGGGCCACCTGCTGCCACAGGCTGCCCACCGTCAGCTGACGCTGAGCTGGGGGTTTCCAGGTGACCCCCCCCGTTGTGAGGTCCTGGAAGAAGATCCTACCCGTCGTCTGCGACTGCCGCTGGACCCAGCAGGCGTCCAGGTCGTCGAAGAGGACGCAGTCGGCTGCTGGCTCTAGACGCTCCATCCACTCGCGGGAGAAGGGGCGGAAGGAGGAGGAGGAGGAGGGAGGGAGGGAGGGCGGGGGAGCTGGTTGTTCCTCCTTGATAACCGAGCCGGAGTAGCTGTTGGGCTCGACCCAAGAGGAGCGGGAGAGGAACTTGTTGTACCAGAAGCTCCTCCCCATTCTCCTCGACTCATATTTCTTCCATCCCGCCCTCTCGAGGTTGAAGGAGGAGCGATGGGCGGGGGCAAGCAGGTCTTGAAAGGTCTTGACCTCCTCCTCATCCTCCTCCCCGTTCTCCTTCTCTCCTCCTCTCCTCCTCTGCCTTCCGGGAGGGACCAGCTTCTCCTTGTCCTCACCCCGCAGCAGGGAGAGCACCATCTGAGCATAGCTTTTCCTCTCCTCGTCCTCCTCCAGCGTCTTGATCGCTCTCAGCACGGCCTCAGACCCTCCTGCCGCGTTGATGCGCAGCCTGTTCGAGTTCGATCCCTCCGCAAGGAAATTCAGCATCCTGCAGCTCTCCACCAGCACCGAGTGCTTCTCCTCCCTCCCCCGCAGAAACGCTATCAACGTCACCAGGATGCCCTCTCCTATTAGCACCTCCTTCCTGTCCACATCCTGCTCCTGCTCCTCCTGCTGCCCCCTATCTCCTGCTCCTGCTCCTGCTCCTGCTCCTGCTCCTGCTCCTGTCTCCTTGCTCGGCCCCTTGTCCTCGTTGCCTTGCTCCGAGATGGCACGGAGAATTTTCAGCAGCGCGACCTCCGTCTCCCCTGACGCGCTTCTCTCCTGCAGCTGTTGATGGAAATACTGCACGAGCTCCCTGCTTCGCATGCTCCTCCTGTACTCTTCCTCCGCCCCCAGCAGCGCCAGCACTTTGAACCCCTGCCTCTTCACCTCGGACCCCCTCTCCCTCCTCCTTACTGTCTCCAGCACCAACTCTCCTCCCCCGCACCTCAGGATCTTGGTGCGGTTGCTGGGGACGCTCGACAGGTTCACCAGCGCCCCGCACGCTGCCTCTAGCAGCTGCTCGCTCCCCTGGAACTTCCGGATCGCCTCGCAGATCATGAAGATCCCCCCGCACGACGCTACCAGCTCCTTGCTCCTCGCGCTCACCGACAAGTTCCACAGCACCGCGCACGCCTGCTTCTGCACCTCCTCCGACCCCTCGTGTGCTCCCATCCCAGCCACGATGGCCTCGATCCCTCCTCCCTCCGCCACCTTCATCCGGTTCCCTTCGTGCTTCGATGTCAAGTTCCTCAGCGCACCGTAACCCGCGGCCTGCACCGTCTCCTCCAGCAGGTGGGACGCGATGGCCTGGAGGACAGCTTCCATCCCCCCTACCTCGTTCATCTTTGTCTTGTTTCCCTCATGGTTCGAGCACACGCTCATCAGCGCAAGCAGAGCGTCCTCCTGCACCCGCGCGTTACCGCTGTGCAGGTGCAGGTGCACCAGGATCGCCTCGATCCCCGCCAGGGATCCCACCACCTCCCTCAGCTGCTCGCTCCTCGCCAGCCCAGCAACGAGCCTGCAGGACGAGGAGGAGAAGGACGGGCTGCTCTTGTGCTCATTCATCGCCTTCACCAGGAGCAGGAGCACTCCGAGCTCGCACGCTTTCGTTCTCGTCCTCTCCGTCCGGCAGATAGCAAGCAGAGCCTCGCAGGTCACCTGCAGCACAGCAACGTCGTCTTCGAAGGCTTGCAAGTCTGCCTTGGCGACCTCCAGCACCTGGTTCTCCTCCTCCTCCTCCTCCATCCGGCTCCCCAGGAAGCTCAAGGCGCTCAGACCTTTCTCCTGGATGTCCTTCTCCTCCGCAAACTTCCTCATGCTTTCCAACAGAATCCGCGTCCCCTTCTCCCTCATGATCATCTCTTCGATCTTCTCCTCTCCACAGAGGTTCTTCAGCGCCCAGCAGCCCTGCTTCTGTACGCCCTTGCTCTCTCGATGCTCCGTCATCGCCGACAGGATCACGCTGACTCCTCCAAGGATTCCGATCCTCAGCTTGTTCCTCCTGCTGTTTGCCAGCATGTTGACAACGGCGCCCAGCCCCTGCTCCTGCATGGAGGAGAAGGCGAGAAACCTTCGAAGGCCAGACAGCAGCAGCTCGATCCCCTCCTTCTCTGCAATCTCCTCCTTCCCCTCATCCTCGATCGCAAGGTTGCCGATGAGCCTGCAGCACTTCTCCAGCACCGCCTGGGACTCCTCAAGGCCTTTCATTACCTCCAGCACGAGCTCTGCTCCCTGCCTTCTCATCAGCTCCTTCCTGTTCCTCGAGCTGTGCGAGCAGATTCTTGACAACACCACCAGCCCGGCCTCCTGCAGCTCCTGGCATGACAAGTGCTCCCGCATCGCTCGCATGACCCCATCGATCCCTCCCGCCTCCACCACCCTCCCGCGACTCACGTCCTGCTTCATGCACATGCTCTTCAGGCACCTCATCGCCTCCGTCATCGTCCTCTGCGAGCTTTTGTGCAATGACAGAACCTCGAGCATCCTTTCCGCCCCGTCATTCTTGACGATCGCCAGCCTGAACTCGTCTACCGCGCACAGTGCCCCGAGGACACGAGCGCCGGACTGCTGCATGCCCTCGTCCTCTTTCCAGGTCTCCATGGCTGCAAGGATGGCTGCGAATCCCTTGCTGCTCCCCATCTTGGATAGGAGGCTCTGCTCCTCCACGAGCTGCAGAAGCAGCGACAAGGCAGCATCTTGCAGCTCGAACCTCCTCCCAAACTTGGTCATCGAGTTGTAAACGGCCTTCACTCCTCCCTCCTGCCAGATCTCCGTCCTCAGCTCCCGCAAGCCTGCAGCTGCGGCAAGGAAGATGATGGCAAGCTCGTGCAGCTCCATCACGTTCCAGTTTCGGAGCACGCTCACAGTGATCTTGATCGTGTCCATGCGCAGCAGCTTCACCAGATGCTCCGGCGTGGTCGCCATGGTCCTCAAGATCTTGCAGCCCAGCAGCTGGAGCTCCTTGTCCTCAGAGTGCTTCCTCATGGATCTAGTGATCACCTTCATCGCCTCCTCCCCTATGCTCGAGGCCGTCGACCTGTCCTGCACAAGGCATCCCCAGATAGTCCCGAGCTGCTCTCGGAGGAACGGGATGCTCGGCTCCTCCCCCCTCTCGTCTGCCTCCTCCAGAGCCTTGAGAGCCTCTCCCAGCATCTCCTCAGCTGCTGATGCATCCAAAGGCACCCGTGCTGTTCGTGCTGGAGTTTGCTCATCAGGTTTGTCCCTCTCCTCCCTGCTCTCTGCTGGAGCTGTCTTCCCGGCCAGTTGCTCAAATTCACTGAATCGCACTTCAGATGCCTCCTTGCTTGCTCTCTCGGAAACTTTGTCTGCCCACCGTTGCTCTCCTTCACTCTCTTCTCCCCTCCTCTTCTCCCCTCCCTCCTCTCCTCCGACCACTCCTATCCTCTCATCCTCGCTCTCCTCTAGCCTCTCCTGTCCTCTCTCCTCCTCCGCCTTCTCATCTAGTCTCTCCTGTCCTCTCTCCTCCTCCCTCTCCTCTCTTCTCTCCTCCTCCCTCTCCTCTCTTCTCTCCTCCCCTCCTCCTTGCTTCATCGCCATCCCTGCAGTGCTGTCGCCGTCCATGTCGACGTTAGAAAGATCGGATGCTTGCTGGGTGGGGTAGTCCAATCAGGCAGGGTAGTAACTCGCCACGGTCCTCTATTCCACGGGGTAGGGGTTATAGAATCTGTACTGCCAAAGAGGTGATGAGGGGAGGTGGATATGGATCGAAAAAAGGGGTAGTGGTACTGACTGAAGGGGTACTGACTGACTGACTGACTGAAGTTTGAGGGGGTTGACAAGCCGTTGAAAAGATCTCTACGTACACATGTGAGCATGCAACAGAGGGGAGGAAGCTAGCGGAGAGGACAGGACGGCAGGACACGCGCCAGGAGGTCAGCAGCACTCAGTGACTTCTTGCTCAGAGGCTGAAACTTCCCATGTTCCTCTCGCACCCTGAAACCGCCCCTCTCTCCTTCTCACACAGGGTGCCATTAAACGATTTGTACAAAACACGATCATCGGGAATCATAAGATAGCAGGATCCGCTCTTCTCCTCTCCACTTCCTTGGAGCCCAAGTGGGCCTGCTCCTCGCCGTCCAGGGTCCAACTGACTGAGGGAGGCGGAGTCAAGGACGAGCTGTTCGCAGTGTGGGAGGAGATAGTCGGAGTGTGTCGGTGGAGGGAGGGAGGTCAACGTTGAAATCAGTCTTGGAGCTACGAGTACTTTCATGCCAGCTGCAACTCTGCATGTTGTGAGGGACAGCAGAATAAGATCAGCTCTCACCAGTGGACCTTGCGAACGCTCCTCTTCTTGACGGTCTTGGCTCGAAAGTTAGCAGGCAGAGCGGTAGGAGTCGACAAGCACTGTCCTCACCTTGGGGAAGAGGATGCGTGGAGTGGAGCTGTAATCGAAAATCTCGGTGCTGAACGCAGCCGTGAGATAGTGAAGGCAGGGAGAGTAGGGTTGAATCGATCGGAAGAGGGAAATAGAGGCGAGAAGAACGTGGACAAGGGGAAGAAGTGAATTAGGCCTACCGGATCGGCATGAGCATGAGGTCCTTCATACCCTCGCGGGGGCTGCGCTCTCCCTTGAGCACCTGAATCATAGACTTCAGCGAAACGAGGAGGATGAGGCTAGGTTGAGAAGGATGCTGGAAACAAGAGGGAAAGTGAAGAGAAATTGAGGAGGATGGAAGGAAAAGGAATATGTTGACCTCTGCAACGCCAAACAAGATAGGAAACTTGAGGTCCATCCTGAAGGATCGGGGCATCTGGCAAGTAGTTTGAGTCAGGAGAGTGGAGGAGAAAGTTGAGCTAGTGGCACCTTGGTCAGAAGGAATTCCACTAGGGAGAGCGCTGTAGCGTATCCCTCCGCCACCTTCCCATGCAAATGTTGGTTGATCTTGGTCACTGCAAGAACGACTGACCTCTGTCGAGCTACTGAGAATGTCCTCCAACTTCTCTCCCTGACCCAGGCGGATGCCAAGGTTACGATTTCCTGTTGAGGACCATCCGTTAATCGAGGAGAGGCTACAAGGTGCAACCGACTTGAGAGAGGCCCGAAGCAAGTCCCGAAGGTGTCCCCAACCCCACTGAGAATCCACGTCAACGTTCGGGTAATCTTGTCGGTAAGTTCATAGGAGAGGATCGTCAACAACGAGCAAGGATAATGGCGGATACTATTAGAGTCTTCTCACAACGATCCTCTCACCTCAATCCCATCAGAGTAGAAGGCGACGCACCAACAGCTCGGGCTGAAAAAAAAACACTCTCTCAAACCCCTTTCTCTTGCCAAGGCGCATCGAGCTTACCCAGGGTTTGCATTTCCAGGCATCCTCTCGTTACAAGGCCGGCAACTGCGTTCGTTCCCAGCCCCAGGCCCTCGCACATTCCAGCAGCTGCAGCCAAGAAAGTTTCTCGAGTCAGCAAGAAAGCATGCAGAAACGCTGCCAATAACCTATCGCGATCACATTTTTCACTGCTCCTCCAATCTCGACGCCAATGACGTCCTTTGAGCAGAGGAAGTCAGCAGGTCAAGTAGCGGTGAAGCAGCTCGGGTCAGAGACCTTGCTAGTGAAGACACGGAAGTTCTCGCACCCGAAGATCTCAGCCGCTCTGTTGGTAAGTGTGTCCGACTGACTCGCTACCACGACGGCTGTCGCCAGCCCGACGGCAATCTCCCGAGCAAACGAGGGTCCGCTAAGGAACGCATAGTCCCTGGAATCCCCCAGCTCCTCTCTCAGAATGTCCTGCATGAGGCACAGGGTCCCAGTCTCGATACCCTTGGAGGTGCAGATGACGGGGCAGTCCTTGGGAACGTAGGGGGCCATCTCCTTGAGGAACTTGCGGCTGTACTGGACGGGGACAGCATGGATGATCAAGGTGGCGTCCTTCAACGCTTCTTCCTTGTCGCAGGTTGCTGTGACGGAGTCAGGGAGAGTGACGTCCTTGAGGTAGGTCGACGAGCGATGATGGATGTTGATAGAGTCCATTGCATCCTGCGTGCGGACCAAGATCTTGACAGGGTACTTCTTCTTGCCGAGAATGGAGGCCATGGCCAGTCCAAAGCTCCCTCCTCCGAGAACAGTGACTCGTTCCGAGTTCTGCGGGGTCTGCGGGGCCTGCTCATCCTTCATCTGCAGCTTGTCCATGCTGGCTCTCAAACTGCGGGCAGGGGCGATCTGTGGGAGTCCGAGGCTCTGGGATCTTGAAGATAGGAAGGAGGAACGAAGGAGGGGGGAAGGAGAGGTTTTCATCAGTGTAGTCGACAAGAATGCTGCCACGGAAGAGCATTGCAGTAGCAAGCCAAGTAGAATCCCATCTGAGCGCTTCATCGTCTGACGTTCTCTCTTGATTCCTTTCGATTGGCTCTTGTCCCTTCCTGACCTCTAACGCTTGCTCGGAGTCGGCACCTACAGGTGCACCTGCATGCAGTATGAGAAATGGATGTGGGCTGGAGAACTGATGATGACAGCTTAAGAACGTGACAAATGAAAGAGATACAACATGAACGTTTGATAGCAGGAAGAGACTAAACTTTGTTTGAGGAATTCATCCCAAAAAGGCACAGAAATCAGACATGTTAGTTCTGTGTTCAGAAGACAAGGAATACATGGCGTGAGCAAGGGATAGACTGCGACTGGCATGAATTGCAGCATTTGAATGCCCTTGCATACATCAAATAAAGAAACCGAGGAGCAAGAAATCAAAATCGCGGGGCATGAGAACGGTCCCAAGGGAGCGGAGCAGCAGCTGGGCGGCAAGAGAGAGAGAGAGAGAGGAAAACGATGAAGCACCCCAGGAGGAGGAAACAAGTGCGAGCATAAGATGGTGAAAGGTGGTTGGTCGAGGATGGTGGACAAGAAGGAAACAGGAGCGGAACAGGCGGCAGGAGCTTCTAGAATGGAGTGGAGGCTGCATTGAGATTCGGATTGCAAGTTCTGGACATGATCAGTGGGTGGGGTAGTAGAGTAGATATGGTAGGGTGAAAATTAAGGGGTACTTCGCAGACGTGAAGTGCAGTGGGTTGAAAAGGTAGGGTACTCTTTGGGGAAAATCCTGGGTGTGTTGGGTTGATATTCACACACAGTGGGGTAGGTTACATTTTGCAAGGGTGGGTGGATTTGTACAAAGTTTAACTCTAGGGTGGTAGACTATGTACCGAATTCCAGAATTGGGGGTAGGGGTATATTACCAGGGGTGCATTTGAGTGCTTCCTTGCTGGATCACAGAGGGTGGAGGCGATAGCACAAAATGACACAGGGGTGGTGGGGGCGGGAGTCAATTCAGGGGGTACTTTGGTTCGGTGGGGGTGGGACAACTGCTGCGATTCCCCTAGAGCGGATGGGATCTGAAGGGGTAGGGGTGGCAAGTCCAGCCAGACTCGCTAGGAAGGTGGGGTAGACTGGGCCGGGCGGCCCGGGCGGGTGCCGAGCCTGTCCGAAGTTCGGAGGGCCGGGGACTCCGGGATCGGACCGTACGGTCGGACCCGCCGCCACCGCCCGGCCGGGCCGGCCGGGCCGGGCGGCCTGCCAGCCTGGCACCGTGACGCACTGGCCTCGCCCGGCGACGCCGGATCGGGACCGGGGACTCGGCACCGTGCTTACTACAGTTAGGCACACCATCGCCTCAACCCGGGGGCGGCACTGAGGCCGCGCGACTCGCCGAGAGTCAGATAGAGTCAGATGATGGCCGAACCATTCAGTGAACCACTGGGAAGTTAGCCCGCCGGCCGCGGCACTGCACCCCGGGCCCGGTCACGGCCGTACGACGGTCACGGCGTTCACGGCACGGTACGGTACCGATCGGACCGTGACGGCGGCCGTCCGGGCACCGGGCCCGGTCCCGGCGGCCGGCACGCGGTGACTCTCGGGCCCTTGAAACTTTCATTCAATCGGAGGCAATGTCATGATAAGGCCCCTTGCTGAAGGCTCAGTCGGACTCACTCATCAATGCGGCATGACTCGAGCCATTCCGGCATGCTCGCCGCCGACGGTAGCCTCAGTGCTTGAGCTACTAGGTGAGCCCAGTGAGTTCCGACTCCACGCAGTCAAGACCAGATTCTTGATGATTGAGATGGCGTTGTCTACTCGCTAGAAGAGCTATCAGCCATTCTTTCTCGTGAATCATATGCCACTTACTTCTTCATGATCTCCCGACACGACGAGTCGCTGCAGCTCTTCGCCACAATCTCCTTTCCTGCTCCATTCAAGCGAACGATTGTGTCAATGCCGTCCCTGACTTCCCTCTGTAAGACCAAAAAAGCTCAAGACTGACCTGGGCACAAAAATGCTTGTCCCTGTTCCAGCTTCTAACGAGCGAAGTTTCATGTGTTTTCTACCTATTATCACCTGCCCATGGCGAGTCATCTATACGAAATGTGACCCACGAAAGCCTCATCACGAGTACCGGGCCAATCAGGCTTGCCGGCACCTGCATCTCTTTCTTGATCACTGGGTCTTGACCGTCAGCCTTCTCTGGAGGAAGCCTTCGTATCCGGCTCGGGTCAAACAGCCCGTTGATATCCAGTACAGGAGAATCTGAACAGCACAGTCAGTGAACGAGACAGGAAACTGACAGTTCAAGACCTTTGCTGAACAACTTGGTGGGGGTGGGGTTAGCTTCCATCCCTTGGTCAGCATCGAGTTCGACCTCTCTGGACTGAGATCGCCTGTTTCTCACCGAAGACTCACCAGTGGCTGGAGAATGGCCGTTAGATCCCCGCTCCTGCTCGCCAGACTTGGACAGAGCCATCAGCTTCTTCACTGCCCTCTCAACGTTGCACTGTAGGCCAGAGACTGCCGCCGTCTCCTCCAAACTCTCACTCGTCTCTCCTACTTTAGCTTCCTTGTGCAGCAGCTCGATGCACACGGCGTTGGACTTCTCGAACCTTCTCCTCCACGGCTCGTCTTGACAGAGGCTAACGACATGCTTCCGCTCACTCTGAGACATGTCAAACCGCATCACAACGATGGTTTCTGCTATCTGCTTCAGTTGCTCGCAGGTCGATACAACGTCCGTGGCCCCCATAACGGACAGGAAGTGATCTTCCTCCTCCTCATGTATCAAGCGGACCCTGACTCTTTTATCGAACGACCTGCTGGCTTCCATCACGACTGCCCTTGACTTGTCGTGGGACACCCTGACAAAGTTCTGATGGATCGAAAGGTGGGGATGACTTGCCACCAGAATCTTTTCCCAGCAGTCGAAGGCAACGTGGCAAGATTCCTCAATCACTCTCGTCGAGGTTATGTTGTTGCGATGCACCAGCACAACATAGAAGCCTGACTTCCCAAGATTCAGAAGCTCTGCTATAAAGTCTTTGTCCCCTGTGATCAGCACGACTATCCTATTGCTCCCGTCCTCTTGGCTCAACAAGTTCAGCCGCAACTTCAGCTTGGTGTCGACAGCTCCTTTCTTCGACCCAACAGCTTCCAGATGCACACCCAGCGAGTCCATGTCGTTCCAGTAGTTCAGGTGAGGATGGAAAGGATTCCTTTCCTTTCTGTTCAGGTAGAAGAAGTACTCCATCCTCGCTTTGATGATCTCGGGATCGAGAGTACAGTGCAAAGAAGCGATCATTGTCGCGACATGATCCCGTACTGAGCCGTACCTGAAGTCAGGGTGGTTGGGTATGTAACAGTTCTCTCCGTCATGGTGAACAATTACTTCCTTGAGCTCGAACTGGTCGGTCAGTTGCTTCTTCAACCGGCAAGGTGTCCACGGACAAGACGACTGGCTAGAGCTGCTGCCGGGGGAATTCAGTCTAATCTTACCCAGCTCTCTTCGAAGCACATCGAGCTCTTCCTCTAGCTTCCTCGACCTCTCCGCCGCTTCCTGCATCTTCTTCTCCATATCCAGTCGTGACTGTAGCTCGGCCAACGCCTTTCGTTCTGCCTCCTCTCTCGCCGCCTTCTCCGCCTTCAGCTTGCGTGCAGACGACCCAGCCCCCATGGTCACTTGATGCTACATGCCAGCATGGCAGTCGCAGTAGACGAGGGGCGCCCCTCCCCCCCCTCCCCACCAGCCTAACGGGGGCGACGCGCACAGCAGCCCCCGCATAGAGATTTGCTGGAGATCCAGTGATATCCGGATGCTTGCGGATACTCACGGATACTATCACGGATAGCCTCGGATACTTTGGCGGTCTGACCACCTTTGGGCGGGAACATGCGAACGCGGTGGTGGCAATGCAAGGGCGGCGGCTGAGAGGAGAGGGAGGAGAGAGGAGAGAGGAGGTGTGAGGTGCCAGGAAGAGAGAGAGGAGATCGTGATATGATGGCTGCACATGCCGTGAGGGAGGGGAGGAGGAGGTGATTGGCAGGCAACCCTCCACGTTGTGTCCCAAGACCCTCTAGGAAACCGCGACGTAGAGATGGACGGACTGGGCAGCTCAAATGCTGAGCAGCGCGTGAACGAGAGCGACTCTTTGGCTAAGATCAAGGACCATGAGTTCGCCGTGCCCCTGCCGAGGGCTCCGCAGCCGGCAGCTTCGGGAAGAATGCTGAGGAAGAAGAAGTGCGCTGAGAAGAGAACCTTCTCGAGTCTGAGAGAGCCATCGAAGTCTCCTAGGAGCAATGCTCTCAACGACCTTCTGTTCGAGGCGCTATGTGACGACGGTTCATGGCATGATGTCGTCTTGCTGTACATGGACAACCAAGGGCGGTGCCTCGTCACAAGGGATCCTAACGTCTTCCAGGTCCCTGATGAAGGCTTCTTGAGCTACTTTGGTAAGCTCATCGAGCGAATCCAACCCAGGAGCTCCAAGGGAATCAGTCCTTCACTGCGTGTTCAAGATCTGTCATGGATGGAGAGGTTGGATTGTAACGTTATGGTTCGAGAAAAGTGCCAATGGGTGCAAGCCCCTTGCTGCTTACGGAGACGATCGACGAGGCTGGACAAAGAGCATGCTCTGAGCGTGGGAGACAATGTCTTGGCAGTTCTGTACTTGGACGACCACACAGAGCATTATTTTGATGCGGACGTGATGCAGATTCGGAAACATGAAGGTACACTGTTGCTTCGAGGTTCCAACCAATGACTCAACTCCCTCCCTAGGTACCTCGGTGCAGATCCAGTTCGTTCATGGACCAAAAGTTGGAACAGTTCAGTGGGCCTCTTCCTCCGACTTGTTTCGTGTGCAAGATTTGGGTCTGACGAATGAAGACGTGAGGCTGTCTCTGCACAACGGGTACAGAGTTTTGTCAGCACAGCACTCTCCAATGAAGCCAAGGGAGGAGGTTGAGGGTGCAAACCATGAGCCTGTACAAGATGATTGCTTCCGCTCTAATGGTAGCAGCCAGTCATCTCTTATCAGCGAGGAAGCGGCGTCAGGGTACGCTTGCACGCTTCTCAACTGGGCAACTGCCTCAGAGGAGGAAATTCATGACTTCAAGGAATTTCTGACCTCTCGCTACCCGAAATTGTCGCCCACTTTTCGGATACTGTCTCATCACAAGGTGATAATTGATGGATCTGGAGACTTGAAGTATACCGTCGGGTTTGATGCACAGACTCTGCCCATGCTGTGGCCATTGAGCGAGAACAAATGGACGCAGTGCGTTCAATTGCTGCAGAAGCATTCCGCACTGGGACGAGAGGCTGTCTCCGAAGTTGTCAAAGGCTCGATCTCCTACAGTCGATGGCACGCTCCCCTCAAGCTTGTCGACGTGAGCGCGATGTCGTCTGCCAGATCACCTCTGTTTGTTGATGACCATAGTCGAGGTGAGAAACAGCGGGAGCTCGCAGGGAACGACGAGCGAAACTCAGAAAAAGTGGATGCTAGAGCGTCAAATCACGTAGACACTATCGATATCGATCATCTATCTAATGGTGCGACGCCTCTCCAGGAGGATGGAGGAAAGAGAGCGGAGAGGGCAATGACGTTTGAGGGGAGGGAAGGTTCGTGGTGGCCGCCGACGTTGAATCACATCTTCTTCTCATCTTGGAGGGCCAGTGCTCGTACGTTTCGAGCCGTTGCTAGACCCGTCGACCAGCTGTCTCCTTCCCTGGGATCGGCACAGCAGCTCAACGGAATGGCAGGGAGCATCCAAGGAGGCGGGAATGGGGTTGGAGCCGCTACCTCCAACGCTGAAACCCAACGCCAGACCAACGAGGGTTCGTATTCGAAGGCCTATCATGACGTGATCCGTGAGAACGGGGAGCGATCGCTCCCTCCCACCTCGCAGCGATGGATGAAGATGGAAAAGAAACTAGCGGGCAAGCCCGTGACATTCAGCGGTCGTGACGGAGAGGTAAGTCAGAGACCTCCTAGATGAAAGCTGATAATGTTTGTAGGCGACAAGGGGATTTCTGCATCTATCGAGATCGAAGGTACCCACCTGCTTTCGACCTGATCATGCTCCTCCATGACGAGAAGCTGTTTCAGGACGGCAGTCTGTCGCTTCAGGTAGAGTGTAACAACGTTTGCCAAAGTATCGAGGATTGGTCGAAGAGGTTGTCTTCAGTGATGGTATCGATCATTCCTGACCTGATGCGAACAGACAGACATCGCAACTAGATGGCATAGTGATTGAATCCATGAACATGGCACTCAGCGATGCCCTTGCGGCATTCAAGTGCGAATACCGAGATGGAAAACTCCTTCCGATCAAAACCAAGGAGGATGGTGACGAGCACCATCGAGGCTCTGCTAAGGCAGCGTCCAAGTCCGCCTCGAGGAAACGGCTCTTCCCGGAGGTGCCGGAGGCGGAAGAGTTGGCTAGAAACTCTCTGCCATCATCATCTTCCAAGAAACGCGAGTCTTCCAAGAGTGTCTCTAGAGCCTCTATCAGACCAACAGAGCCTGGGAGATCTGAAGGGTACTCCAGCGCCAAGAAGCTCGATCGAAGTCGGGCAGCCGATGAGGTAGCTCGGGCAGCTAGTCTTGGTCGTTGGGCTGACTTGGATGCTGCTCAGGATATCACCGTGACTTTCTTCCCAGAAGAGGATGAGATGGAGGAGGGCGACCCCAAATGCTCCACACCGACAGCGATGCCTGGCAAGCACGGCACCGCCTCGAGCAAGAAGAGAAAGAGGTCGGAGCAGGAGGCGGGCCTTGCCAAGGGAAGCTCTATCAAAGTAGAGCTCGAGGATGAAATGAAGCTGAACGCGTCTAGGGATGTGGGTGAAGATGAGAGTTGGAACAGGGGTCAAACAAGCTCCCCCGCTGCTGCCTCTGCTGATCATGCTCACTATGGACAACATTTGTCTCAGCAGGGCGCGATAGATGTCAACTTCATACTGGAGCGGTGCAGGATCTTTGAGGACGACCAGAAGGGGTGCAAGGGAAGAGACTCTACTGAGAGAGACATAATCTTGCTCACCCAGTTTCTTGTGTACGGACTGAAGAAGGTCTCGGGCCACGGCCTTTCATCCCTTGTGTCATCCCTGACAGTTGGCTCCTTGCAGACGTTCTTCTCCAGGAATCTCAGCAGGGCAGTGTTGGAAAAGATGGCAGACGATGTGATACAGGCGACTAGGCAGAACAAACCCGACCTGCTACGCAAGCTGCTGTACAAGATTGAAAGGAACATCAAATGTACTGGCTGCCCTCCCTCTCCAGTTGAGCTGAAGTTGTTGGCAGGGGGGGCGATGACCCCGGGGTACGACCGCACCCAGGTGAAGCCGATGGTCTCGTGCTCGAGTTGCCGTCTGATGTTGATGATGCAGCTGTTCTCCTTGCCGATGGACTGCATGGAATCAGCCAAAGACTTCGTGACGAAGTTGATCGCCAGCATTCAGATGGGCGCCTGGATGCCTTCGTATCTGCTGAGAATAGGATGGGAAGGACTCACGAGAAGCTCGTCAACGGTGCACGGCTGAGCATGCGGGATCAAGTTGAAATGTGTTGTTGAAGACAAGATGCGTTGAAATAACATCTCAAAGATGCCTCCTATGAACCCTCCCCTCCGTACACCCGACGTGTTCACATGTGAAGTCAGCAGGATTCATTCAACTTGGCGTTGATGCATTTTCGGGCACAATGCTAGCTTGTGATGAAGTTAGAATACAAGGCCGGGAGTGTGGGGGTCTTCAAGGTACAGGGGATTGAGAGCTGCCGGGAGGTTTGGGGATCCTGAGCATGTCAGGATTAGGGGATGCTGTCAACAGCAAAAACGAAAACTCGCAAAATGAACATCACAATCCAATCGATTTCCATCACTACTTGCATGAACAAACAACACCAGGACTTTAACCTCCTCCTCCTCCTCATCATCAATCACAAGAACAACATCGTCATCGCTTTTGTCATCATCATTCTATACAGGACAGCAAAAGTTGCAATGATGGCATGCGCAACACATCTCGCAACATCGCATCACCACTGATCGTTGCCAATTGACTGCCATTGCATCTTGCTGATGTTGTCGCTGCCGTCTTGTTTGTCGGTGAAGGGAAAGCAGAACCTGCAACAAACTCACAACCATGAAGAGGAGGGAGGGGGGACTGGGGGAGGGGGGAGGATGCAGGAGGGGGGAGCAGGGAGCAGGGAGCAGGGAGGGCGAAAGAGAGTGCGGGGGAGGGAGAGAGAATCTTACTCGCCCAGCCTCTCAATCTTCCCAAGCTTTCCCGCATAGAGCGTACTAACGTGCTGATATGCCGAGCAGAACCTGGAGCGAGTGGGTTATCTGGGATTCTTGTTCCCTCGCCTTTTACCCTCCCGTCAATCTGATGATATCGCCAGGTTGGACAAGCTCGCCTGAGGTCAAATTACACGAGAAGACGCAACGAGCTTGCCGTCACCGTAGGCGTCGAAGAGCGAAGCATTCATCTTCGCCGTGTTGTCCGCGATCTGCAAGCTTGTCAAGCAGCCACTTGACGAGCTTCGATGCAGGTGATGGCTACCACGATATGGTGAACCGTGTTGCCCTCCTTGGTTCCTGTTGTCTTAACTGACAACAACAACAGAGTATGTCAGCAGTTGCAACTGGCTCGGAGCGCAGACTCGCACCTTTCTCCAAAACAATAAAGAGCGTGTTGATAATCTGAACGACGTGTCATCACTGCGCCTCCCTCCTCTCCCCATCACTTCGGCTCTCCCCTCTCCCTGTCCCTCACCTTGTCTCCGGGCTTGATCGTTGCCAGTTTCTTCCACTGCCTGCAGTACCACTGAGGCCTCAGGGGATCAAACTCACCACAACAGCGACTCACTTGTCCGCGATCGGCTCCTTCCAGCTAGTGGCGTAGATGTACTTTTGGAAGAGCTTCGTGATGGTAAGAGTGAGGAGGGGAGGATAAGACTGAGGCTCACCGCCTTGTCCATGGGACTGTGAAGACCAACGCTGTTAGCAGGAAGCGGAACGTGCTGAGGGCGGGTAAGAACAATCGGAGCAACCAGCAAGTATCGACCTGCTTCACAGCCGATGGTGATGCCGCCATGGGACAAACTCGTTATGCTCCAAAGATGTCTGCAGAGAGCGAGCAAGTAAGAACGAGTCCACTCCAGTGCATACTGTGTTTGTGAAAAACGGCAAAAGGTTGGGAAACATGCCTGAGAAAATGGGTGATGATATGAAACATGCGCAGTTGCAGCGAGTTTTGGGTGGGAAATGAAACAGTCAATGTATAAATGATACGATCAAGGATGGGAGGAGCAAAATATGTCAGTGATGCTATTAGATATGCCACAGGGAGATGAAACGGTTCATCGTCCCATTGCAACCTCCACCCTCACTCGAACAGAACCACTCAGCATCCAAACCGCCCGGCGGCGCTCACATCTCAAAGCAAGAGTAAAGGCAGTAATGCACAACACGTCAGGAAGAAGATGTCAAGAATGATGAAGAACAGTTGGCACTAACATCTCGATATGCCAGGCATAATGTAAATATGGAAGACACAAGTGATCGTTGACATAAAAATGACGTCATGGATCATTTTGAGGACTACTAGGATCGCAGGGAGTACAAGCGAGCTGTAGTTAGAAGAGCAAGCTCTGCAGTTGGACGCTATCATAACGCGGGGGTAAGACAACGGGCGACGGACTACATCTACGGTTCCACTGAAGGACTGCAAGTTAGGTAGCAATAGCACGAGAGGGGCAGGGAGAGGAGGAGCGATATGATCCTATAGCATCTCATGCATGTCTGTCATCTCATGTTCGTTTCGGATCCTTCCATGGTTCTTCGCCTCATCGCGCCGGCGCTGTTGACCGCCATGGGTCAAGACGGCCAGCCACCGCTACATCCGCCATGAGTCTGATTGAACGTTACGCAGTGGGCAGCCGTTACAACCTTCTCAATCCCACCGGGCGGCCCGTCATCCCCGGCCGCGGCCCACTGACGCTGCCTGACTTCAACGGTGGCCATGGCAGCCGCTAGGCTGATAGCCGAGTGCGACCAGTCACTAGTCAGCATCCAAGAGACTACTTCAATTTGTTGAGTGAGAAAGAATTTAAGTAGTTCAAGGTACCGTACAATATAACAACAATCTACAAGGAATGTGATGAATAAACTGAGCATCCACCAGTCGCCCCTGTAGAGTCCCACGATTAGACTCTACAGTCAGCAGACCGGTTAAACACTCAGCTATCCGCTGATACTCGGAGTACAGAACGAACAAGCAGCTGCGTTTAGAAGAGATCTCCTCTCTCCGCGTTGACCCTGCCGCTGACTGATGTCCAGAGCTTCGGCGAGGCAGTCAGCAACAGCGCTAACAGTACATGAGTTCTGAATGATCATCCAGAGCACTGGTGCATCGATAGCCATGAGCAAGCAATGCGGATTAGAACCCAATCGCAGATGTTGTCCCATGGAGACAGCCAGATGCCTCTTCTCCATCACCCACAGCTCTGCTGTACAGAACTGCCTCCCAACGACAGTGCCATTCCTGGAGGCAATAGCGACGCTCCGCAGTAAAGGGACGACGTCCAAGTCCACCATTTCCTTGAGGCACGGTTCTTGACGAGCAAGATTCACGAGAGCAAGCACAGCGAGGTCGACCTCCCTCGGTACTACAGACTGGCTGCCACCTCCAAGGTCAAAATTACATAGCTCTGCAAATTCCCATTGAGACAAAGTCTGCCTGAAGCGATCCGCATCAACCCCCGACTCGTCTTTAGCCTCGCTTACCTACATTTGATAAGATCGGGCATTCGATATGCAAATGCAAATTCAATTACCTGATTGACGGACTTTCCAGCTAGCAGCCCAATCTTGCTCCGTATGTTTCTCGTAAAAATTTGGGTCTCTGTCTCCTCTCTAACTTGTGGTAGAAGTCTGCATGATTCAGATTCTATCCATCGAAACAAAAGATCCTTGAGTGTAGGGATAATGCCAACTGATTGCAGAGTCTCACAATTTTTTCTGTTGGTTGTCAAGAGTGCTAATGGTCGTAAACACTCATCCGAGTCATACCAAGCTACATCTCGCCATGCCTGATTCTTGAGAGCGCACCGCAGCATCTGAACAATCACAGCAACGATAGTGCCTTCAACTTCAAGGTTCCTTAATTCCTCTTCTGACGACAAGTTTGTGATTGCCATCAACGCTTCAGCCCGCATGACATCGTGCTCCTCGCCCATGCCGTTGGCATGCAAACACGGCAGCAAGGCATCATGGATCACGCGCGATTTGCACAGAAGAGGAGCAACACTTTCACATCTGCTCAAATTTTGAATGGTTCCCATGGCAGTGAACCTGTCTGAATTAAACTGTCCTTTCCCCATTTCGATCAGAGCATCCAACACCCCGGGAGTCTTCACAATCACCTCAGCAGCAACTTTTGAATAGTTTGAGCAATTACGCAAAACTCCAGCTGCATCATCTTTGACATCGCCGACGCTGCTTTGCATCACAGAAACAACTCCTTGCATCATTCCCGGAGTCTTAGCCACCAACAACGCATTGTCTGCGTTTCGGAAAGTCGATTCCACCAAAGCCGAACAGGCGGCTCCCCTACTTACAGCAGTACCTTGTTGTAAAACACCGAGGATGGCCTCCATCAATCCAGGATGGTTTGCAATGGCTGTTTGGTTTCTCGAATGCTTATGTGACAGTGAAACTATGCAATGGCAACACCAATACCGTGACATGTCTGATCCATTTACAAGCAAGTAGCGTATACCTTGGCGGAGAGGATAACTGCTCCCGAGTAAGAAACGTATTTCATCGTCCTCTCTGCAAGAAGATCAATCAGGGTTGAACAAGATCTAAACGAATAAGTTGAGTCACCTGTATTCCATTGAGAGGGTTCGAAGGCGCTTCGCAGCTTCCGCAGCTTGATCCGGATCCTCTGAGCACATCAAGGATGCCAATTTTTCAATTTGCTGCTGAATTGCAGTCTTTTGACCTGAAACCTGTGATTGCATCGAGCTAGTGATTGGCTTCAAAAAGCAGGATACGCTGATTCCTGTATACTTAGTGACGAATCGAACTATCCTGCGTACACGAGGTGGAATACAGGATGACGTTGTGATCTGTTTGAGATGTATATATTATCTGTCGTGTTTTGATTTTGGCAATTTCATGTCAAAGACGCAGCAGCAACTGCGTCTTCCTGAGTCAAGAAGTCTTGAAAGACAAGCCCTTTGCAACTCAAATCTTTTGACGCTGGGGTGTTGCGCTGCTTTCACCAGGATTCCTTCGCTTCTCAGCACTCTGACTTCCCCTGTCTCTTCCTCTGTTCCCTCCAGCGCTTCAATGTTCTCCTCCTCGCCGCCTCGCCTCGCCTCTCCTCTCCTCAACCTCCTTGTGCCTACGATCACCTGCTCTACGCGATTTCAGACCCACCCCACTGACTATCTTTTGATACCCTACCCTTCTTTTTGAGATAGGTCAAATCCTCTTTTACAAAGGCCCCTTTTCTTCTAAGTGAGATATCAATCAATCTCACACTACAGGATGTCATCTTCTACCCTTTTGAGGGAGTACCCACCAATTTCCGTACCCCACCCGGTCAGTCTACCGCCCTTTCGTTCTGAGATGCGCTCCCCCAAAACTGAGAAAAGCGTGACTACCCCTACAATTCATCCCTCGATGAGGCCTGCACCGGTGGTCTTTAGAGCGAATATTTCTATCTAGTACCGGTATCAGTGACACCTATTATTTCAAAGGGTGGGTCCTCTTTTATCCCAGCGATCTCATACGATCTCGGGGTTTTCAAAACTTTCTAAAATTCTGCTACAAAGTAGTTGCCGTACAAATACATCAACCAACACGTACAGATTATAAAATACATAAAAAGAAAAGATCAACCTTTTTCATGAATAGATGAGATTTATGATCGTTTCAACTAAGTGAGTCCCTCAGTAGTTTTAGGCATGTTTTGTGGGGTCGGAGCGAAAGGGTCAGGGCTACCACACAATCCTCATAGCACGAAGATTGACAGAAGGATGTGTGCCCTGGTTGATGGATGGCTGGATGAGGACTCGGGGTTTTAACATACAAAACCACTTCCAACAACTATTTTTGAGTTGGAGATCGTTTTTGGAAAAGAGGCTTTTGGAGTTTTTGTACCAGAGTTAAAGCGGCCCCTGTGTGTGGCCTCCGTCAGCATAATTGTTTTAGAATGAAACAATTATCAAATTTAATTGCTTTGCATACACTTTTAGTATATTTGTTTTATGTTTAGTACTTTTAGTATATTTGTTGTATGCCTCACTGTCAGGACTTGAAGGGTCTTGGACTGGCCGGGCACAGCAGCAAGTGCGGCAGTGCAGTGACGGTGCCCGGCCGCCGGCCCGGCCGGCCGGCGGGGGGCCAGACGCCCGGCGGCCCGGCCAGGGCATGTACGGTCCGAGGCTTGTCTAGTGCCAAACTTATCGCTGTGACGGTGGCCGCCGCTGACTCTGCCTTTGAGAGGCGCCGCCGGGCCCGGCGGCACGGCGGAATGTTAGTAAACCGTTGCACCCGAACTTCAACTTCAACTCAGTCACTTCACTGGTCAAGCCTGCGGGCCGCTGCCATGATGGCCGCGCCGACCCGGGCCGCGCCCGGGCCGGCCCGGCCGGCCGCCGCGGCGCCCTGAGTGGCTCGGAGTCCCATAGTATGGGTCATATCTCACCACTCCTTTATGGATGGTCATAGAAAGACCTAGGAGTCCTAGACCTGGGTTGTCACTGTACATTAGGACCTATGAAGTCTGTAGGACAAGGATCTCCTTCCTATACCGACTTGGAGCTCCAAATAGAGCCCTCTAAGGGTCAAATTTGACTTGCTATGACCCTCCTACCACCTGCCTAGGTGACCGTGCAGGGATTACCCCCCGATCATGTCCCTGCAGGAGCCACCCCACGGGTCAATCGTGAATATAGTACCCCTACCCTCAATGCACACCAGACCCCACCTACTTCTCGGATGATGCTTGGCAATCGCACCCGTCTGAAAGTGAACACTACCCCATTCCTTTATCGTCTACCCCAGAAATCCCACAACCCACCCATCTAACAATGAACAGGGGACAATCGTACCCCTCATGATTAACTTTGAGTGCTTCAGGGGGGGAAGGGTGAGGTTACCTGGGGGTCCATCACCTTACTTATACCCATCTGTCAGGGTACCACCCAACATAGTCAAAATATCTACACAAGGGGTAGGGTAGTTTTATAGACAAGATTCTCTATAAAGCACCCGTTCTTGTGAATCTATTTCCCAAATGTGGGTAGGGGTGGTACCCTAAGGAAACTTGTTCCCCCAATCTCCCTGAAGCGAAATACTCAATCTTTCTGCCACCCACCCCTTTTTCGAGTACCGTACCCTGACGATGAACGAAGATCTTCTGTACCCACCCCCTATCCAAGAACAGACCCCACCCCTATCATTTTCTACTATCGGTTTTTCAAACCCCGAAGTTCGACTACCCCGCCTCGATAGTTTGCTATCCGAACTACCACGTCACATAGCCAGGTTTGAAAAGAAGGGGTCCGGTGGTACGAATGACCCCCTGCTGTCTCACTGGGGTGTAGATAGAACGGTATACCAGGAGGGGGCTTCCTGTTTCATAGGGTGGGTAGTAGATGATGGAAGATTGTACGAGGGGTAGAGGAGTCGAGAGTTGGGTGGCATAAGTGAACAACTAGCACACCAGAGGGGGTAGGGGTAAAAAAAGGTATCAGGGGGTGGGGTCATTAGAAGTAGGTGGTGTACCAATACAACTGGTACCAGAGTTGAGTAAAGCTGTTCGACGATGGCGGACAAGCCGAGGGTCGTAGAGCAGGAGGGCATGCACGAGGCAGAAGAGGAGGAGGAAGGAGAGGGACGAGCAAGGACGGGATCGAAGAGAATGACAAGACTCATGGGCGTTAAGGACTTGCAGAGAGCATGCCATCATCTTCTAGTTGCAAGTAGGCTGTGCTCTGCTGTTTCAAACAGCGTTTCTTTCAGGCTAGCTTCACTGCGAACATCAGATCTTTTGGGCAGTAGATCAGGATCAGCCCATAGATTGATGCTTTTGAGCAGCTCGAGGTAGGAACTTCAAAGAATGCAGCAAGATCCCTCGATTGTCTCTGAGGTCACATGGGATCCGATGCGCTACTATGAGTTTGCCAGACGTCATCATCGATGTGCTCTAGGCTACCTGTAGTTGGCTTCATTGCCAGAGAGATCGGTCTTGTTCTCGTCGCTGATGACCTTCCCAGGCCTCGACTGGAGGAAGAGATGGCGCTCAACGCGACATACCCAGAGATCCTCACAGAGGGGGGAGACGACCGTCTCATCCTCAACAAGAAGGGAACAAACAAGTACCACTGCACCCCTCAGCCCATCGTAGGATCGCTCTTCCGAGGCAGCTGCACCTGCAACATCCCCACGGAGGGCGCGTACCAGGCGGCTGAAGCGGCGTTCTACTCGCTGCGATCTGGAGAGGTTGGCTGTTCATGCAGGTTGGCAGGATCCATGCTGATGTCATGCTCAGATCAGTGTTGGCGACATCATGGAGGGGGTGCGATCGAGGATCAAGTCCTTGTACGACCTTCCCGCAGGAACTGAAGTGTTCCTCTGCCCATCTGGTAGTGATGCAGAGTACATGCCGCTGCTCATTGCCAAGACCCTCAACAAGGGACGGAAGGTTGTGCAGTGGCATCGGTGTGGACTCGATCACTGAGATTGCATGTCAGATTGTGAACATCGTGACTTGCGACTCGGAGGTTGGTTCGGGCACCATCGATGCTGCTGGCGGGCGATACTTCTCCAACGTCGTTCCGCTCCCTGACTGGAAGGAGGAGGACAAAGACAACGTGAAGTTGATGGGTTCGCCGGTACTTGAACCTTTTACGTTGTCACAAACCAGCTCATCTTGTCGTTCTAGTTGGAGGGGCTTGCGAATGGTGTAGAGTGCATCTCGATTCCTGCCCGTTGCAGAGACAACGGAGATGTCGTTGATTCGTCGGATCCCATCCAGGTGACGCTGATGCAATCGCCTTCTCTGCATCTCACAGATTCACGCAGGAAATCGTCGATAGATGTTCAGCGGAGGACGCGGTTCCTATCGTTCACTGCGTGTTGGGCTCCAAGACTGGAATCTACGAGCCGTTTCCCTCGACCAACTTTGGTACTGCAATCCTGTAAGCTCCTGTCTTGTGATATGTCAATGCAGGCAAGATGGTTGCAACAAGAGATGCCTTCGTGGTCGTGGACGCGTGCCAGGGGAGGTTCTGCGAAGAGGTACACCCGAGCTTGCCTCCTCCTCCTCTCTCCTCTGAAACATGCTGCCAGTGGCTCCACGAGTATCTGCACAAGGGAGCGATCGTCCTTATCACGGGCTCCAAGTTCTACCGCGGCCCTCCATTCAGCGGCGCCGTCCTCGTGCCAGGAAGCATTATGGAGCGACTTATTCACACAGACGTGGACATGCCGGCAGGACTGAAGCGCTTCATCACCTCCCACGAGATCCCCACGGCACTCTCGGACTGGAAGGCAGCGCTGTCGGCAGACGAGAACGTCGGGCTCGCGCTCCGATGGGTGGCAGCGCTGGAGGAGATGGAGCCAACATTGGAGATCCCGGCGGCGGTGAGGGACGAGTCCATGGACATGTGGAGAAAGTTCATCGTGAGCGAGCTTGGGAAGCACCATGGCGTCCTGGAGGCGTTCGAGGTCGAGTCGTGTCTGAGCATCGTCTCCATCAGACTCTGCAAGGTCAGGAAGAATGAAGAGAGAGATGAAGGGAAGAGAACGAAGGATGGAGAACGGACGAAGAAGAGCGGAGAAGAAGAGAGTGAGAGGGTGGCCGAGGAGGGGACGGAGTGGAAGGAGAGGGACTGACAGCAAGGCAGGGCTCCAACTACCTGAACACGGCTGAATGCAAGAAAGTGTTCGAATGGATGACTCAGGATCTCTCCGACAAGTTGTCGGACCCCTGCGCTGCCGTCAAGTAACCCTCTTCCCCTTTCCTGCCTGACGGCGAATGACGTTGAGGCAGGTGCTACATCGGCCAGCCGGTCTCGATCACCAAGGATGAGACTGTCGTGCGAGTTGCTCTCGGCTCAGACTCACTGAGGTAAGGGCTGCGGGTAGAAGGAGAGGAAGGGAGAGGGGACAAGAGGTCGGAGAGCAGCAGCAAGGGAAAGGAGGGAGGCAAGGAGACGCTGAGGGATGTGCAGGTCGCTGATCAAGGACCGAGAAAAGACCCTCCAAGAGGACAAGATCATCATCGCTAAGCTAGCGCTTGTGACGGAAAATTATAACAATCTTAGCGTCTCCATGTAATGTAGAGTGAAGTAACTGACAAACCAACGAAACGAAATCCTCACCTTGTTTATCTCCTTGTTCAATCGTGATAATCTGTAATACTTCTTTTTCCATCTTCAAAGTTGCCGTTCACTCACTATATTTCTATCTCCGCTTGTAAGGCGTGGATTCTGGCCATCCCAGACTCTACCTAACTTCCGTACAACCATTTTCTCGATCTATTCACAAAGGTGCAAAAGAAGTCAAAAAACAAAGAACATTGAACATGTCCTCTATACGCATGAAATAAATTGTTCGAGACACTATGTCATTGGTCAAACACATTTATTGTGAGGCACAGCCTGAAAGAATATAATTTGTCGACTAGTATGTACATCTTAGATGAAATCATCTAAGGAGCATCACGGCTCAGAGCTTTTCGGGTTCCAGCTGCGCCAGGGTTGATGACTGAGCCACGTCCTTGTGCCCAGAATCTGAAAGTTCGCCCGATGGGCATCTGCGAGTAATTGTGTTCCTCAGAGGCACCATACTCCTCGCTGATGAACTTGGTTGCCTTGGAAGTGACAATCTCACGGAGGCGAGCAGTCAGCAAGAGCTCGGTGGTCTTCTCAAGAACGACATGTCGGCAAAACTCATAGATGTCGATCGGCTGAGCCTCCTTGAACGCCTTCAGGTCAAAGTGCTCGATGGAGTCGACGATAACAGCGCCAGCAGAGGAGACGCCCTCAGGGACGAAGGTGATGCCAGAGTCCTCCACGAACTGCTGAACTTCGATGGACTTGAAGGGGAGATTGGTAGCTCCGACAATGGCCTTGCATCCCAGGGTCTTCGCCATCTCCATAGAGATAAGACCAGAAATTGAGCATGGGACGAGAGCGTCGATCTCCATCTTCCAGAACTCCTCAACGTAGTTGGGTGTTCCCTTGGAGATGTTGGTGGCGCCAAAGATATCAGCCTTGGCAACGTCCGCATCGATGGTGTACACACGGGCTCCAGCTCGAACAAGCTCTCGAGCCACTGTGCCACCAACAGATCCGCAGCCATGAACCACAACGGTCTTGCCCTGAGAATGATGTCAGACAAGCAACATTACAAGACATTCATAGGCTTACATGAAAGTGCTCGAGGACACTCTCGACAGCACCAAGAACTCCGTAGGCAGTGGCATCATTGGGGTTCACCGCCTCATTGGCGATGGCGGCAAGCACGTATGGGCAATCCTGAGAGAGGTTGTCCATATCGCCCGTGGTTGTGTTCAAATCGCATCCAGTGTACATGGTTCCGTTCAGCTCGTGCAGGAGAGCTGCGGTCGCCTTCATCAGTTCGTTCTTGTTCACGTTGAGTACAGAGTTGTTCGCTCCAGAAGCATCGCAAACAACCTTGGCTCCAGCGAAGCCCGTGTTGTAGGTAGTGTGCTTCACCTCCATGCCTTGTGCAAGTCCAATGGCCTCGCGCTCAGCAGTTTCGAGATCCGAGTAGACCCAAAGGCGGAATCCACCATTGCCAGGACGGTCGCGCGTGATCTCGGCTGCCGCTCCAACCATCAAGTTCACGCCCAGGTGTGGGAGGGATCTCTTAAGAACGCGGGCAGAATGCTGGAGCTCTTCGGGCAGAAGAGGTGCGATCATAGATGCACGAGCATCGTCAGCTTCCAAGTTGTGCCAGGTGAGATCCCGCCCTTCCTGATTGGGGAACCAAGACACCTTGTCTACGCCCCGAATCGGATTCGGGAAGTTGGTGTATCCGTTCCTCTCCTCCGCTGACTGCATCGCTCGCTTCGAGTTATAGCGGGAAGGCAAACTCTTTTGCACATCCCTGCAAGTGATGTAAGACCAAGAATCCGAGCACAACAATTTCAAATCTCGCACGAGCACGATCTTCACGAACAAACACAACAAAACATCAAGGACTTCTGCACTGTCGTCAACACTGGACAGATCACCATCGTATCCCGCATCCTCACATTCCCCACCTGACTCTGCCGACTCTGCTGAGAGGGCGCGCTACCGCATTTCCGAGTCCCCAGGCTCTGCGCATTCTTGCGATGCTGGCACTGTCGGGTCTCACCTTTATCATGGGTTGCCCCTCACCCACCCCACCCCTGCCTTCTACCAAAGATGTACCCCACCCATACCAGATGCTCCAGCAAAGAACCCCTCCGATTTACATCTAAGTACCCCCATCTCGACACACGTCCCGCAGTGTTAAGGCTCAGGGATTCTGTATTTGAAAACACATCTTTTCGACTTTACACTCTTTGACCGATGGTCAAATGGTCACATGCCTTTCATCGGGATATCGGCCCGAAGGGGGGTGGGGGGTCCTTCAACTGTTGGATACAGAGAGGTAGGGTCTTGTATGTGGGGTACTAGTGATGATAGGGCCGAGGACCTATTTCCTTCGAGGTCTCCCCCACGTTCCTCTGAAAACATGACAAGGTCTCCAATTCCCTGACCCTTACCCTTCCCCCATTCTGCCTCCAAGCCGTCCCGGACACCGGGCACACTTGGAGAGCCATGGGGAAGGGGTGGGTAGGTTCGTTGGAAGTTGGAAGTTGCGGAGGAGTAGTTCAAGTGGGGTGGGTGGGAGGTGCACAAAAAAAGGAGGAAAAATTGCCAGCGGGATTGCAGGGAGCGGTCAAAATGGTCAAACATCAAATCTTTGACCGAGCCGGTCCCTAGGACCAGATACAATGCTAGGACCCTCTATGCACGGACTCTTGCCGAAAAGCGGTACAGCACGGGGTGGGTGCCCTACACGAGTTTCAGCATATGGGGCGTATCTGACTTCCCTTGGTCTTACCAGCGGTAACACCTTGGCTTAGAACTCCTACATCTAGGTGCAAATGCGGTCCTATCTGGGGTCCTAGGAAGCCCCTGCACGAAGGAACTCAACACTAAGCCGGCGGCGGCGCCACTTGAGTTGTCGTATCTGCAGGGCTGCAGGGGAGGAAGAGGCGTATCCCTGCAGGTGCCCCGGGGGGTGGGCAGGGAAAGCAGGGGTGGGATGTGAGATGTAAGAGGTGACTACCGTGGCAAGGCCTACCGGGTGACTCGGGGGGTGACCGAGGGGTCCTCGCATCAATTCCCAGTCCGTACCGTACCGTGCCGTAATAAAGTACCCTACCCCGCGTCCGGACATCATTATAGGGAATGCAGCCGAGCCTGGAGTCCGAGCCTGGAGTCCGAGCCTCTAGTAGGCGAGGCGAGTCTGCCGCGCCGCGCAGCGCTACGCCGGTCCCCGGGGGGGCACAACTGCACGGCGGCGTCTTTACTCAAAGTTAAGTTAGAAATCAGTACGAGGACAATCAGGAGAGTCGAGGAGGCCCCTGATGAGGCTTGACCCTGACCCGGCGTCACGAGACTGTCGCACAGGCCAAACGGCGAGAAGAGAAAGACAGCGAGAACCAAACCCAATCCTGCCGACTGCTGTCCCCCAAACTTAACTGATACCGGGCCTTCACTTAACTGCGCGCAGGACAAGTCCCCCCGGCGCGGCCATGCCGCCAGCGATGGCGACTAGTCGCGGCTCGGACTCGGCGGTGGCCGCCGCCGGAGGCTAAGGAATGAGACTCGTGACGCTAGTACCGGGATGCACCCGCGATGACGGCAGCGTAGGACTCCAGGGAGGCCTTCAAGGCTTCAATGCCAAGTTGAGCTGACGAAGATCCTGGACTGACCTGATCGGATCACCTGAGACCGTGACGTCTTGCGAGGCCGAGAGACCATCCAGCGCTGCCGTTTCCCTGTTCGCCGAGCGATCCGCCAGCCACCACAGAAAGCGCAACGCATCGTCCTGCAAGGCCGCACTGCAGGCTTCGAAGTCACCAAGTCACTAGTAGTGCCGTAGCCCGGTCCCGGCGCCGGGTACGGTACTAAGGCAAGCCTCAGTGGGCCCGGGTGCCGGGCCGTATATGCTCAGCTTCAACGGCATAACAGTAACGGACTCCCGGATCGGACTCCGTCCTGGACCGACCACAGAACAGGAGGACTTCGGCAACTTCAAGAGCAACCGGGAAGCGGTCAGTACTACGGTAAGAGGTCGCTGCTCAGTCATGGCGACAGCACCATCGGCCAGTGAGTCTCCAGCCACTGGCACTGAGGTCGACAGCGGGCGAGAGAAGGGGAGGAAGCAAAGTCAAACGTTTGAGACGGTAGAGGACATGATGAACAAGCGCTCCGAGGTTTGTCTCCCATCCCCTCGCCCTCGCTTGCAGTGCACCCGTCTGCCTTTGAAAACATGAGCGCTTGAAGCGCTTGAGGACGAATCAACCTGCCTGACTTCTTTTTCCTGTCACTGGTAGCTGATGAGGAGTGAACACACAGGAGAGGCAGCGAAGGAGTGAGATCGAGGCAATATTCAACATGATGGACACATCGTCAACAGGTACCTCCTTGTATGGCACAGAATCGTGCGACAAGGGCCATGCTCGTGACTGACAGACTTGATGAAAGGCCATTTGCCGGTGGAGAATGCAAGACGACTGGGAAGGCTGTTGGGGTTTGCGATTCCTGAAAGACACTCGGTAGGATTCTTGGAGTGAGGAGGAGAGCCGACGGCGTCGGCAGGTGAATGCCAAGGGGATCAGCATCCATCAGTTCCAAGGGTGGGTGGCGGCACTTTCAGGGTGATGATCTGATACCGCCGACCTTCCAACGTGCTGACTCTTTGATGGTAAGCAAAACGGATGGGGGGCATGAAGCGCTCAGGTTCTTCACGTACATGCGGGTGATGCCGGAAGGGCGTCAGAGTGGGAGATGGTGACTGGGGAGGTCAGGACAAGAAAGGCTTCATAGGCAAGGCGAGAATGCGGGAATGGTTGAAGCTTCACAAGATCCAATGTGACGAGGTGACGAGGACGTTGGTGTTGCTGATGATCGCTGATGAAAGAGCCAGCGAGAACTAGAGGAGTTGATGGAGTTGATGAACACGAGTGACGACGATCGTGGAGTATCGTATGATGTACCTCAACTTGTATGGCAATTGATGGCAATGAGTGCGAATGGCAGGACCTCGTCAGCTTCCTTGAGCAGAACAAAGCTGGAGGAATTCATAGACATTAAACCCCGCCTCTTCTTGTCGACAAACATCTCATACCAATCAGAACATCTCATACCAATCAGAGCAGCACTAGTTTCCAGCTGCCCATTCGCCTCATCATTGTCCTCACTTCTACCGCTGCATGTCCATCGCTCGCCGCCGTTCAGTGCACAGAATTGCGTTTCCTATTCCCCTCCTCCTGGACTGTAGGGCCGGGGAGGAGCAGGGGGAGAAGGGACATGGTTCCGGGGTCAACGGGGGACGTGGCAGCGCCGTGCTGAGAGAGGAGGAACTGCCTGCTTGTCTTGTGCTGGTCGGAAGAGACCCGCTAAGCCTCTTGGAAGCTCGTCGGGATGAGCGGGTGGAAAGGTGAGGGAGGGGAGGGAAAGGCCGGGAATGAGGGAGGGAGAGGGGGAACGGGGGGACGGGGAAAGGTATCGGAGGAAGAGGGAAGGAGGGGGAAGTTATGGGAGGAGGAGGGGTCCTTTGGAGCTGCAACTGATGGGGAGTGCATGGAAAGGGTTCCGGGCTATCAAGGTTGTAGCCAACGCGTTCAGCCCAGCGGCTCAGCTGAAGCAAGCGAGCGTGAAGGAGAACGTTGCTGATGAGTTCCAGCCCGATGGTGCCATGGCTTGTTGCCTGTGCTGCTCACTGACTTGAACGCTGCAGCTCATGTCGTCCCTTCGCACAGGCTCTACCGTGAGCTGCAGAAGGAGGTCGTGGCCGGTTCCGTGCGTCTTCTGCTCCTGCAATGACTGGATTCTTACCGTGCTAGCTCGCAGAAACACGCCTCCATCCCCATGATCCTCAACGAGTGGGTGAGGAACAACGACAAAGAGAGCATTGAGGTGGGAGAGAGAGAAGGGGTGGGGAGGAGAGGAGAGGAGAGGTGGAGAGGAGGAGAGGATAAAGCACAAGGCAAGGCAAGGCAAGACAGGACAGGACAGGACAGGAGACGAGACGAGACGAGACGAGACGAGACGAGATGAGAGGAGAGGAGGGGAGACGAGACGAGACGAGACGAGACGAGACGAGACGAGACGAAATGCGATGGGGGCTGAAAGCTGAGAGGGTCGCAGGTCATGTTCCATGCTCTTGGCCTTCTCTTCGTGCGCGAAGATCATCTCGTCATTATCCAGCAGTTCCTGCAGTTGCAGGCTGAGGGGTGAGAGCCTTAGCTTCCTCATCAGCCCCGCCTGGCTGACCGGCAGCGGATGGGAGGGACGCAGGAAGCACGAGCTGAGCCCGGAGATCCTCCGTCATTTGGACGAGTCGCAGATGATGTTGTTTGCTTTCATGCCATCATGCGCTGCCAGGGTTGACGGGCCATGGCAGACCGCAGCAAGTCATGTCGAGGTCCTTCCAGTCCATAGGCGTTGACATGAAGCACTTCATCCAGCAAGACGTATTGTCCTCCTCTCCTCGACCCTCGTTCACTCCCGCGCAGGCGAAGTGCCTTTACACGTTCGCCTCCATATCAGCTGTCAAGAAGAACCTTCCCATGGACGTCAGGCGCAACTTGGCTGTAGAGTTGAGGGATGCAGAGAACCCTCAGCTGGTGAGAGCTTTCTTCGAGTTTGTTGCGGTGGGGGTTTTCAAGTTTGTTGTCATGAGATGGTGTAAGATTAATGTCACAGTCTGACACTTCATTTTAGCTTACACAAAGAGACTTCATCACGTCTCTGGACGTTGTGCTGTAAGTTACAAGAGACCCGTCCTCAGCAACCTGACATGGATCCTCTCCAGGGAACAGCTGGGCTGTCTCGCATGATGCCTCCCATCCTATGGGATCCACAGATGACACAAGACTGAAGTCGTCAAGCCAGTGATCAAAGTCAGCGGGACTCCGAAGTAGACGTAGTCGGCGAACGTGTATCCGCCAGCTCGCCAGACCATGAGGTTTGTTTGATAGCCGAAGGGCGTCATGAAGGAGGAGGAGGCCCCAATGATGAGCACGACGACAAACTTGTACATACTTAGCTCGACCTGGAGGTTCTTGACTATACTATACATGATGATGACTGTTGCCTGATTGCTCACAATACAACTCATGCAAGCAGTGCTGTTTAGAGCATGTCATGAGCTTCTCCATGCAGACCACGTCGACGCACCTGAGGTAGACGAGGAAAAGGAGGGGGATGGGCCCGAGAGACTGTCCTATCGACACCATTCCCTCTGCAAGCTTGGAAGTGACGTGCGTGTTGGTGAGACCTTCTCCTAGCCCGAACGCTGCGATAGCTGCGAGGATGATGCGGCCCTTGATGGCGCGAAATGCCGAGTGAATGGTGATGCACTGCAAGCCGTCAGAGCTGACGGGAGGAACGAGCTGCCGGCACCTGAATGCCGACGAGGATGTAGGAGGCGATGAGCATCGCCACGAGGAGGCTCAGCTGCAGGCCAGACGTCAGGCTGGTCCGGAGAAGACTCTGACCCTACCTGCTGCGAGGCGACAAGCACTACCATACAGAGGAAGACAGTCCCTGCCACCAGTCTCCGTATCCTATCCTTGTACCTGAAGTTGATATGAGACAGATCCCCTTTCCCCTCCCACTCCCCCAATCTCCATTGCTGCCTTCTCACTTACTGGTTGTGTCGGGGGGGGGCGCTGTCATCAATCAGGCGGACGAGAGCGAAGTGATCAGAGTCCTTGTAGTTCCTGCATGCGCAGGTTGAGGCGGCAGCAGACCGTAGGAAGAGGGAGGATACGTCACGAAGTTGGGGTATGTCTCAAGCAGCAGCGTGTCTCCCCGTCTGATCTGTCACACCTCCTGTCATGCTATCCCTGACTCTCACGGCAGACTCACCAAACATTCTCGATGGGCATCAGCCGCCTGCTCCTCTTGGACGCTGTCCTGCGGTCGACCATCCCGCTCGTACCGCAGGCGAGGCTGCGGGATGCCGGAGAGAAGGGGGAAGTACTCGTCCGAGGTCAAGCTAGGCCTCACGGCGAAGATAGCAGCATTGTACAGGGACAGTGTATCCGCGTCCTGCACCGACTGCCCGAGGAGAGGGCAACTAATAGGGAACTTCCATGGTCAAGAGATTCACAACTGATGCTAGAGAGGGTCTCACCGGGCGTCAACGACAACCTCCACCAGGCACCTCCTCCGCCTCTTTGGGGCTCTGTTGAGTTCGGCATGCAGCCTGCTATGAGCGGCAGCCTGCAAGCCCTCGACCTTTCGAAGCTGGGAAACCGCATCGGCAGTGCAGAGGAAGGACAGAACGTCTCCTTCGAGCAGGGGCTGCTCCCAGAGACTGAGATCCTCCTGCGCGTTTTCAGCACGGGGGAGGGTAGGTTCTTCTGCTGTAGCGTCCGGCCTAGAGGATTCAGAGATCTCTGTGCAGACATCAGTCGAGCTACACGCACACTTGAGCGATCACACCTCCAGCAGCATCCTGAGCAGTGTCGGAGGCAGAAGAAGCCGCAACATTGCGGCCGCGCGAGCAAGGAGACGTTGACCTGGACAGAGCTCTCCCCTTCTGGATGGAGACCAGCTTGGCCCCCTGCACTCGCTTCAGCCCGAGAGCACTAGCGCTCTTCCTCGACGCCAACGCTGTAATGACAAAGGACACTGTGTAGATCCTCAGGCCCCCGAGGTTCGACGAGTCCTGGGAGGGATACAACTTCATCTCGCCCTTGTTGCGATCTCGGTCGAGGGGGAGGAGGTACCTGTGACATGATCGCCAGCATCAGCAACGGGCACCTGCTTGCAAGGACAAGCATGCTGTCACCTTGCAGCTATCGTCATGTAGATTAGCCCCACCGCCGCCACAGGAGCTGCTACCGGGGTGATGGAGAAGAAGGACATTTGGAAGCCGGGGTCGTGGCCTTCCTCCTTGTCTCGCAAGAGGAGCTCTTGCAGGATGAGGTTGGTGCTCGTTCCAATCAGCGTGCACATCCCGCCCAGCAGGGCCGAGTAAGAGAGCGGGATCAGGAGCTGGGAGGGGGGCAGCTGGTTTGCGTTAGCCCACTTGAGCACGATCGGGATCATCATGGCAACGACTGGGGTGTTGTTGATGAACGCGGAGGTCATGACCACAGGGCAGCAGAGGCGGCAGATTGCGATGGTCGGGTTGGACGTGCGTCCAAGAAAGTTGCCAACCACCATCTCGATCGTCCCTGCTTCCTCCAGGCACTTCACCACAACCAGGAGCACTCCGATGGCGAGGATGCCCTGGGAATGGAACCCGCTCCATGCCTGGTCGTCGTTGATGACGTTGAAGAGCCGCAGGATGATCGTGACGGCCAGCATGACCAACTCAGGGGGGCAGTTGTTGGCCATGAGCAGCAAAGCTCCAATCGTAACGCAGATGGTTAACCAGCTCTGCCAGTTGAACTCTGGGACGGCATCGAAGAAGTTGGCCGCGGCACAGACGACCGATGTGCAGACAAAACATACGATGGAGAGAGGGAACTTTGCAAAGAAGGAGGATAGGTGATCTTGAATTCCAGGCTGCGAGTCTAGCTCCGAATATTTGCCCCTGTCACTGATGTACGTCCCGGTCTCGACGGAGACCTTGGAGCCAAGGTCCTGAGCAGACGCACTTGCTGCTGATCCATCATTTGCGAGCAGAAGCTCTTCAATCCCTTCTCTGCTCGCCATCGAGCCTCCTGTTCCCAGCACCTACTTTCAGAGAACCGCCACTCGCACTGATCGCAACAGACAGTCAAGGGAGCTCAGCTCAACCTGAACCACTTAACAGCACTCCTTCAGCAGCAGGATCAGTCCACTATGTCCTCTCCTCTCCTCTCCGCTCCTCGCCCTTCACTTCCTCCTCCCCTCTCCTTCAGCCATGGCGCTCTCGCCGGCTTGATGCACCCCGCCATCCATCGGCAATTTGCGAGCCCGCCCCGCCTTTTCCCGCCGTTCCAAGACCCTTTCTGTCTGCGTGCAAGGCCGTGTCAACAACTAGCAACTGAAGTACCCACCCCTGGCTATGACCCATGCGCTTTGAGACAACTGTACTGGAAATCACCACCCCTACCCTATCACATTGTCCCCTTGTCCCATCAACAGTGACCCCACTTGACCCAAACATTTTCTAAAAGTACCCCTTCATTTCCTGTCATCATATGGGATAATTGGGGGTCCTTGTCAGTACCCCTGTGGGCACCACCCTCCATCACGGATGTAGCGGCCCATCGATCTACCCCATACACTGCACGGTACACCGCCCTACCCTTGTTGCGAAAATACCCTACCCCCTGCTGTCCGCCATCTGAGCAATTGTACTTTTCAGTATTAGAAATTTATTGCAATATTTGAAAACTTTACTGCAAGGTTGGCACAAATTGGTTTACACAACTCGAAATCATTCCCCCTTGAGGTTTTTAACCCCACCCTACCATCCCATCAAGTGTTTGTCACCCACCCTACGAAGGACTTCCCCTTTTCATTCCATGACGGCTTGCTCCCCATGGCCGCTTCTCTCCGTACAGCGATACGCGGCATGAAAGCAGAGCACGATGTCACGGAGATCGTGTTTCACCATGAGATAGTGATGATGATGCTTCGAAGCTGCACTCTGTTGCAAAATTCTCAACAGCTGATGATGATTCGGTCATGGATGAACTCAAGAATAGAGCAGTCCTCTGTTTGCACTTGTAACAACTGTCATGACAATGAGGCGAGAGGTGTAGTAGGTGTGGATGAGACTAGTGTCTGAAGACCAGGAATTACTGTCGGAGTCATGAGTAGGACTGATCAGAGCTTGCTCCCGTATGATGCCTGCAACTAACCAAAGCTTGCCCTTCATGCGTGCCCCATCCACCACTTTTTCATGTCCTCTCACCCCATGCGCGTCAAAGAAGTTTTTGTTGAGGGTTTGCTGACTTTTCGATTTCTATAGATGATGACAAGCTGAACTGATCGATTCACTTGCCTGCAAGTTGGTTGACTGTTTCTGTTCGTTAGCCATGGCTTCAGCACGGAACCGGCACATGCTATGGCAAACCCTGTTCCTTCTTGCACTCTTGCCATCAGATGCCTTGAATCTTTCCAGAAGAGGCAAAGTCGTTCTGGGATTCGGCTCCTTCTTCCATGGACGGCTGGGCGCGTCATGGCAAGAGGTAAGCAGCAAACAGAACTTTGGCAGCCAACAAGTTCCCGGAGGAAGCGCTTGTATTCGACAGTCAATCCTCCGATCTCTTCCCACGATCCACTCCAGAAGATGCGGCACGGTCTTGCTCCGAGACATACAGATGTGTGCTGGATCAGGGCATGTGCACGAACACCGAAGCACCGGCGTGCAGCAACATGGTGACCTGAATCTCGATGGGGCCGCGGGCAGCGAGCACAGGTTGCATGGAGCGAACTCATCCACTTTGTCAAGAGCTTCGGATGTGGTCATTGTCATGCACGAGGAGCACGAGTGCGAGGACGGGTCCTGCACCTCTGCGCATGGACACTCGCACTCGCACAGCCATGGCAGCGCAGCGCCGACCCGCGACCCCCATAGCGTCGGAGCTCATTCGCACTCAGATCACGATCATTCTCACGATCATTCTCACGAGCATACCGACTCCCACTCCCACTCCCACTCCCACTCCCACTCCCACTCCCACTCCCACTCCCACTCCCACAGTGCGTCTGCCCCAGGCAGAGGGAACTTGGAAATTCCGATGCTGAACAAACCGGAACCCCAATCCCTGGTTGCAGACCAACGCGCTGTCAAACTCAAGGATCCTAAGGAAATCGGCAACTGGCAGATCGTCGCCAGCATGTACAAGTCTTTCTTGAAGGGGAGCGGCAAAACTGCGGTGGTCTTCTGCTGTGCTATCGTCCTGTTTGCAAAGTTTGTGCGAGTGAGCACCCCTTTCATGTATCAGTATGTCCTCGATACAGTCAGCACAGGCGCTGTCAGTGTTTCCCCTGTGTTCCGCTCCATCTTCCCCTTCGTGGACAACGGCGTTCTCAATGTCTTCCAGGGCTCCTTCTTCCTGATAGCAGTTTATACCGTCTCCAAGATCTTTGCACAGTTCCTGCAGTCTGCCAACGACGTTCTGTTTGCTAGGACAGTCCAGCCAGCGGTACGTGTCTTCGGCCGCGAGGCCCTCGCATCGCTGTACAGGATGCCGCTTTCCTTCCACACAGGGTCCAACACGGGAGCGCTAACAAGGTCCATGGAGAGGGGGATGCGTGCCATCATCGCTGTCCTGTCAAGGTTGCTCCTGCATCTTGTCCCACAGGCGATCGAGCTGCTGCTGGTCTCGGCGATCGTGTGGTGGAAGGCGGGACCGGAGCTTGCGCTCGTCTGCTTCGCGACGGTGGCTGTGTACTGTGCCTTCACCATTCAGACGGTGCAGCAACGTGCGCACTACCTTGAGGAGATGAACAAGTCCGACAACTTGGCTACCAACCGCCTCCTCGACGGGCTCCTGCACTACGAGGCAGTGACGCTGAACAACCGGCAGTCCCACGAGATCCTGCGGTACGACGAGAAGATCGTGGACTACCAGAGGGCGCAGCTCAAGTCCTCCATTTCCCTTGCTGTGCTGAACTGGGGCCAGAAGTGCATCGAGGCGTTGGGGTCCGGTTACCTTCTCTTCCGGACAGCATCCAGCGTCCTGTCAGGCACCATGACGGTGGGTGAGATGATCATGATCAACACTCTCCTCCTGCAGCTGATGGGCCCGTTGGACCACCTGGGAGCCAACTACATGTTCCTGATGCAGGGGATGGTTGACGCCAAGGAGATGTTCCGCATCATACAGGACAAGTCGAGCCAGGAGAATGATAGGGAGACGGCAAAGCCTCTCCTTGTGAGTCGGGGCGACGTGGAGTTCAAGAACATTCACTTCAGCTACGTTGATCATGCTGGACAGGAGGACAAGGGCAGGAGCCACAAGGAGCACGTGCTGTGTGGTCTGGACCTCAAGATACCCGGAGGAAGCTACGTTGCTGTCGTTGGAGAGAGCGGATGCGGCAAGTCAACGCTCACCCGGCTCCTCACTCGAACTGTCACGGCCAAGGAGGGAGATGTGATTGTGGACGGACAGGACGTCCGAGACGTCACCTTCCAGAGCCTGCGCGACAATGTGGCGCTCGTGCATCAGGACCCTTCGCTCTTCAACGAGGACATCGCCTACAACATCGCCTACGGAAAGTACGGCTGCACGGAAGAGGTCTGCGTTGTAACTTGCTTGTCCCCGTCACGTGCCTGACTGTATGATGATGCAGGAGGCGCTTTCTGCCGCCGAATCTGCACAGCTCCAGCCTGTGATAGCGAAGATGAACAATGGGATCTACTCCATGGTAGGAGACAGAGGGCAGAGGCTGTCAGGGGGTCAGAGGCAGCGTGTGGCCCTAGCACGAGCGTTAGTGAAGGATGCGCCGATCCTGATCTGCGACGAGGCCACGTCAGCCTTGGACGTGAAGACGGAGAGCAACATGATGGATCGCCTGCGAGACCTGCGCCGAGGCAAGACGACGCTGCTGATTGCTCACAGACTGAGCTCGATCGTGAACTGCGATGAGATCATCGTGATGCATCAGGGGAAGGTAGTGGAAAGGGGCCCTCATGCGGAGCTCCTTGGCCTCAATGGCCGATATGCGGCGATGTGGGCGCAGCAAGCAAAGGAGGGAAGTAAAGTAGTGGAGGACGACGCCGTCTCGGAGGACCTGGTGGTTAGTTCACTGAGCTCTTGTATGCCATGTGCTCGTCTTACCTGACATGCTTGCCAGGAGGTTGCGGTAGGCTCCAGCATGAGCTCGGACTCGGGCTGTGGATGCGGACATGCCCACTGAAGAAGCCCTGGCGCTGATGGTTGTACATGAAGAGAATGAAGTCATCTGCCCACCATGACTGCGGGCTCGAGACCAAGCCTGCCCCCCTCGTCCCCTCCTTGTGTTTGAGTTCCCTACATCTCATCGTCCTGTGAGGAGGCTTCAAGAGGAAGCAGTCGTGCAATATTCCGTGTCTGGAGAACTTTTTGGGACAACACACTTCACATCTTTGACAGAGTCCCGGAAAGATCTTCTGTTGGACATGTGAACAGTGAGGGGAGAGGTAAGGGGAGTGAAGGGTATTGAAGGGAGGAACTGCAGAGCTGACACAACAAGGCGTTGCAAGGTTGAGTTGCAACTGGCAAGAATCAAAGAATTCCGATTCATTCACACGAGCGCTAAACTCCTTCTGGCAATGTCGTCATCCTCTACAGGTTGAAACCATCGCAGCCAGATGTCGTCCTCGGACAAGACGGAGTCTTCTTTCTCATCGAGCGTCATGAGCACGTTCTCCTCTTTGATCACGGCTTCGTCTGCAACCTCAACTTTGCACGGATAGGACTCAATATTTCCGTTCGCGCTACTCCACATGTGCTCAAGACAGCCCATGCCCTCTTGACTGCAAGCTATGTGTCCATGCATAAATCGTTGATCTATCACGTCACCCATCAATGCCTCACAAGTGTGCTCGTGATAGAGAATATCCTCAGCTTGGTCAATATTCGATTGCTCAGGACAGACTGGAAGGCCATGAAACCTGCTGGCAGACATAAAAGCCTTGATCCACTCGGCGTCGGCATCCGCTACGCTCTGCTGAGCTTCGTGCTCTCGGTCTGCCCTCCTCGTTGACCTCTGTCCTCGCTTGTACGGCCAGCGGGAGATGCCCAGGCGTCGGCAGGCAGACTTCAAGCTGGTGAGGGAGATGCCGAGGACGTGAGCAGCTTGATCCTGAGGGGTGTGGAAAAGAGGGGAGAGAGCCTGGAGGGAGAGGGAGACATGGGAGGGAGCAGAGGAGCCGGGGCGAGGCCGGGGAGCGATGGAGACTGAAGCCATGGCGGTGGTTGTGTGGTGGAGTTGAGTTGTTCAAGAGTGGACAACGTGCCCTTTTTTCTAGCGGGGAAAGGGGGGGGGGGGGACGGGGGGGAGACGAGAGTGGTCCACGAGATCACTTTGATGACAAAAAAGTCAATCGAAAATAGTCATTTTGGAAAAAGAGGATCTTTCTCCAGATGCAACCATGACATGTCATGATCTAGATGTAAAATACAGCCATGACTGCGAAATGAGGGTAACGTGATTTTGTACGCTGAGCTTTACTACAAAGCAAGACGGGTGTAAACGAGAAGTGGATCATGATCCTTTGGAATGACTCACGAAGTCTCCCATTGAAATCGAGTATTATCAGTAATCTTTTCACTCGGCTTCTACCATCACAACCACCGCCATGGCTTCAGTCTCCATCGCTCCCCGGCCTCGCCCCGGCTCCTCTGCTCCCTCCCATGTCTCCCTCTCCCTCCAGGCTCTCTCCCCTCTCTTCCACACCCCTCAGGATCAAGCTGCTCACGTCCTCGGCATCTCCCTCACCAGCTTGAAGTCTGCCTGCCGACGCCTGGGCATCTCCCGCTGGCCGTACAAGCGAGGACAGAGGTCAACGAGGAGGGCAGACCGAGAGCACGAAGCTCAGCAGAGCGTAGCGGATGCAGACGCCGAGTGGATCAAGGCTTTCATGCCTTTACGATCCCTGCAGTGCCGCTCTCATTTATCCCAAAGCTTATTCGATGCAGCATCAAACGTGGACGTGGAAGTTCGCAGTGAATACATCGAAGATTACAAAGAGAACACTCCAGCACATTCTCGTAAAATTGCAGCGCATCATTTTCCCGCCAAATCCACCACAAGACATGCCGACGAAGATTTCAGCTTGGATTTTCAACAAGGATGAATAGCCTGGTACCTTGGTTGTAGTGACCAAGATGTTGAGGACATTAGCTTCACACTTTCTTGCAGTAGCAAGCAAAATGCTCTTTCTGAGGAGATGTGAATGATCGTTGAAATGAGATCTGATCGTCATCTACCGAGAGTGATGAGACAGCGAGTTGTATTGTCCTTGCGAAGGCAGAGTGGCAGAGTACGATGCGATTTGGAATACCAGACGAATAATCGGACTCACTTGGGAATGCATCAGCCGAAGCAGTTGGTATAAACGAAAAAGTTCTTCATGATTGAGATTGATTTCAGCACATGCAAGAACTTTACAGGAGATATTCGAGATAACGGAAGTTTGATATCGGTAAAGGAAGGCTTCTAGCAGTAATGTTTACAATCGAGTACCTCAAGCTTATCTCGGTAAGATTTCGATTGAGTCCGTCAGCCAGACTTTTGAGCAATGTTGTCAATAAAACAGTATAGAAACGAAAACCTTTACCGTCTGAGATCTTGTTTCGGCTCATTTGCCACCTCAGCCTTGCCTGGTTCGTTCAGCAATCTTGATCAGGACACAAACTTGTACCAAACACAGAGCAAACCGACACCCCTAACTTGTATCAAACACAGAACAAAAACAAGTGAGATACCACTAACTTGTATCCAACACAGAACAAAAACAAACGAGATACCACGGAGCTCCAGCCACGTGTGACTCCCATCATTGCAGCAAGGAAACCTGCATGGAAAACATGAACCATAAGGATCTGTTATCTACGTCATCAGGCTGTACTACCTGGAACTGATAGGGTCACCTCCTGCACAGCAATTCTGCAGCCGTCGACATCTGAATTACGATCTCAGACTGAAGAAAGACAAGGAGATTCGGAGAGAGATGAGATGTAATTCAGAATCCGTTGGCTACCTTGCTCAAACGTCGGCGTTGGAAAGTGAAATGAGCTGAGATGCTTTCATTATCCAACGGGGAGCTCGACAAACGTTATATGGGGATCTTCACCGGAAATTCCCGAGCAGTACTTGCATCTGCCGTGTTCAACATCTCTATCAAAGAATGGCGAGAGAGGAGGAGACGACTAATATGGACAGTCCAACGAATCCTCCACATATCTACTGAACCTCATTCTCATCAGCCCTAACATCCACCCCGCTTCCAAGCCTCCTACCCCCTCACATCCCTCAACGAAGAAGCCGGTGACTTACCTCTCCCGACATCTTCAGGAAATCTTCGAGTTCCTACAAGATCATCAACGATCTTAATGAAACCAAAGACATTAGCTAAGCTTTACAGCTCTATTCAGACCTGTGGCGTCAAATTGCTCTGCGCGTTATGCTCGCTCATGAAACGGAGATATACTCTGTCCCATCACAGGCTAGAGTCATCCAATCGACACAAAGACCTGCAGGGAGTCTAACCTGCAGCCAGTCTTGCTGTTGAGCTTCATGGCTGTCAGTACCGCTGCGATGCTCTGTTGAGCAGAGAGCTCAGGGTTTGGTAGTAGCGGCTTCTCATCGGCCGAATCTAGAGAAGCTCCTGCCCGGTGCAAGAAGATCATTCGAGTCAGCAGACATATAAAATAATGACAACAGACGTCCATGATTGCCGTAATCACCTGTCGAGACAGCAGAGAACGTCCTAAGTTCGGAATAGGCTGCTTCGTTGAATTCTTCCATCTGCTGGTATCGATTTCTGCTCCCCTGCCAGGATTTCGATTGATGCAAACGGATCATAGAAAAGAAGCTTACGTCATCATCGAATCCATCCTTGGTTGAGGCCTCAAGTTGCAGACAAGTACTAGCTACAGAATGGCTGCAGCAGGAGGTCACAGGCAACTTGGGCGAACCCTCCTTCACCTCCTTCTGCTTCTGACAGTGCATGCGGCATGTCGACGCATCAGTACACACGAGCTGTATCTCTGTGTCCCTGACGCGATGAAACACAAGCAGGAGGGGGCGCAGGTCCCGAGGAGCAGCAACAGTAGCGATGATGTCGCCATTGCAACAGGCGCTAACCCACCGGGCTCAGAGTCCTGCGACTCCGGACACTGAGAGTGCCCGCGGCCCCGGTCCCGGCCCCGGTCTCCCGGAGGCCTGCGGGTGATCCGCTGGGGGCGTACAGTACTGGAAATAAAGATTTCATGGTTCGATATTCAATTTACACCTTTATGTGATTTATTCAACTTTTATAAAACATTTTGGGACTGTATTTGCACGGATGACCCTCAATTCGCACCGTCTCCCGGGGACAAGCAAACTAGTATGCTGACAGTCGCTCGACTGGTTGAATGCTGAAATCGATTGATTTCGGTACAAGCAACCAGTCGCAGTGATAGATACGATATGAACCAGCCCCTCACCCCGTGCTTGCTCGTTCGCCTCCCTCTCCTCGCCTCTGTCTCTGATTCTCTTGGATTCTGGTTTCCTCGCAGATCATCCTTGATCTCACTTGTTTCCCCTCCCAACAGACCTTAGAAACTTCACACACCAGCCCTGAAGGCTTCAGGTAGTTGGAATTCAATCTTGTTTCTCAAAAAAAAGTCTTGTAAGTTCAGCGTATCTTTCTGTACAAGAAAACAAAAGAGAGCGATGGCTGAGTATGCTCACCAAATCTCACCCTTTGATGCAAATCAAGCATCGGCACAGTATCGCAATGATTCTGCACAGCACACCGCTACTCCAGAATCAGTGACCGTCATTCCTAGGACTAGAGTAGGGGCCCCCATTCCAGCCCCTATAGAAGTGACACTCAATCTCGACACTATTCGACCTCTCTTCACCATGAAACAAGAAGATGCCGCTAAACAGCTTCGGATCTCAGTCACAAGCCTCAAGGCTGTCTGCAGACAACTCGGCATTGCTCGATGGCCATACACGCGGGGGCCAAAGGCGACCACCACCCGGGAGGAGAACAAGACGCATCCTCCTGCCACAAGAAGTGTAACCAGCGACACGACAGCAGACCTGGAGATGTTTTCAGAAGACAATGACAACAGCGATGGGCAGGAGACGTCTGGGCAACAGTTTGAGGGTTCAAACCAACGAAAAGAATCTGAAGGATCGGGGGACAGCCTGCTGGATGAAATCGAGGGGAGCCGAACCGAAGTCATGGATCAAGTATGGATAGAATGGTACATGTCAGGAACTGATGCTGACTGCGAAGAAATAGAACAGTCCAGCTCATCTGGGATCGTTGCAACACAGTATCCTTGATTTGTTCGCAGAAACACATTGTAAATACTTAAACAAGTTCAAGATTGATCGAAATTTGGCATGCACAAGAGTCTCTTGACTTTGATTTGTTTAGTTACCACATTATGAAATCAGATGTTATACCAAAGTTTTCGTCCTTGAAGATCTTCGCAATCAAACAAGATGTTTTTCACCTCAGATTCGGTCAAAACAAAATGACAAAGACCAGCATGATCTGTTATCAGAGAAGAAAACTGATAAATATTGTGGTTAATTATCCGGAGTGTATCAAGCCACAAGTTTTTATTCAAAACAATGTTTTGAATCTATTCAAAAAGCATCTCCCCCTCCCCTTGGTATGCTCCTTCTTCCTCCCATCCCGTGTACCATCCTACCCAGCAATCCTCTCCAAGCTGCCCCCTCCCTCCCTTCTCCAGGCCCATCCCCGTCTCCTCCTCAACATCCCCTGCCTGCCCATCCTCTGATTGCCATGACCCTACAGCATCCTCCCCGGCTATTCCCTCCTTGTCCCCTTCTTCCTGCCCCGCCTTGCCTTCTGTAACCGCGCCCGCCCAGCCCAGCCCCTCCCCATCCTGGCATGACCTGTAGCCTTCCTGCGCTCCTGTCTTGCCACTTGACGCTGCCGTAGCGCTCGCCGAGCCCTCCTCCGGTCTGAACGATCCGTGCATCGTCGTCAGGGATCTCTTCCCCCGCTTGAAAGGCCAACGCGTCAGCCCAAGCCTGCGGCAGGCCGACTTGAGGCTGCTCAGAGACATTCCGAGATGGGCGGCGGCGTCTTTTTGGGAGATATGGAAGAGAGAGGAGAGGGTGGGGATGTCGAGGCGGACTTCGATGGGGGAGAAGGAGGAGTGAGGACGGAAGCGAGGAGCGACCACCACGGAAGGTTCCATGTTATTTGCTCTAGATCTTGATATCAGATGTCCTCAATGAGCTTGGAAGGAGAAAGGAAGAGATGGGAGGGAATGAACAAACGAGGGGAGAGGAGCGCAGATTATATGTGAAGTGAGTCGTTTGGATCCTGCCAACGATACGAGCGATTGTCCACTGACTGATAAATCTCGTCGTTTCGATTCTGACAGTTGCGAGGATATCGGCTAAACCGTGACAGATGCATGCTGCTAGAAAAAAAACGGATGCCCGCCCAAAAATCTTGTTTTCGTTTCTGAAACAGTCGGACTATATCTGAGGAAACGTGATGTTTAGCTGATAGGGTTTTGCATGTTGGTGGTAAAATATGGCCATGACATCAAACGTGATCAAACATCACCGATGTAAAAGTAACGTGACGTCCGATAAGGCAATAAAAACAACCTCGGCTCCCTCCCCTGCTAGCAAGGAGGGGGCACCGCCACTATTGAACAGCTCAACCCCACCACACAACCATCGCCATGGCTTCAGTCTCCGTTGCTCCCCGGCTTCGCCCCGGCTCCTCTGCTCCCTCCCATGTCTCCCTCTCCCTCCAGGCTCTCTCCCCTCTCTTCCACACCCCTCAGGATCAAGCTGCTCACGTCCTCGGCATCTCCCTCACCAGCTTGAAGTCTGCCTGCCGACGCCTGGGCATCTCCCGCTGGCCATACAAGCGAGGGACAAACAACTCTCCATCAATGAAAAACCAAAGACACTACCTTAGCAGTAATTTGAGCACTGAAGAAGACTGGATCAAAGCCTTTACTAGCACCAATGAGCATGCATCCTCGAGTGAATCCGGTGCGTTCGCAATATCGACCGTCAGAGTGCTCAACCACCTACCCGAGGTGCATGGTATTTCCATCAGACGGCTTGATTGGGACATTGCTTCGGACAACAAAAGCACAGAGATTGAAGAGCCTTGGCTTTCCTGGTATCTTCATTGCACCGACGCTGAGGACGTTAGCTTTACCATTCGGCCTTGGAAGAAAGAGTCAGTTGCTTTGAGCTAGCTTGCAAAAATTCCGATAGAGTAATTAGTGAAATCGTTTTATTTCCGATTTTTCGATGCGCCTTACGTAAGATCTCGCGTCTCCAACATCCTGAACAACCATGCTCTTCAGGACCTTGCCTCTGCGATCCTCAAGTTTTCTTTTTCATTCGCAACAAGAACGTGTTGTCGTGCCCTTGAAACGCCGGGCCGCTAAGCAGTCATTCAGGGCAGATCGTCGCCTGTTAAAGGAGAAAATCTAACCTCCTTATTGTCTCCACCTTGAATCTTGATCTGAAGTATTCGATCTCTTTGTTCAATTCCTCCATCACCTTCAAAGCAACAGTGAGTGAAGAAAAAGCCATCGATTTCGAGTGGACGTTGACAAAGCGGGAATCAAACATAGATTCAGAGGAGCGAAAGCAAGAAGTACATCTGTGTTCCACGTGAAGAGCTTTGGTTCGCACCTTCCATCGAATTAGAATTCAGAATATTTGAGAGCAATTACTGACCAACACAATAAGATCTCGGTCTGAGGTCCACTGAAGTCATTCAGAGTATCTGCAAGCACGGTATTTAAGCGCAAGGTCGTCGGATGTCAGAAGGTAGAAACCAGCCAACAATGGAATCAATCCTGCTGAGTAGGTAAGGTCTGCTCCGATGATGACGTCATAGCCCTGATGAAAGGTAACCAAAGGATTTAAACTGCAAGGAGCATAGTCATCTACTTTTTGAAATGCAAACTTCGAGTCCCAACACTAGAGGATTAGAAGAGTAGGATCAGTGCTGGGAAACACTGATCAAGGAGGATTCACCTGTCCCATATCCCTCATGTATTGAGCTTCTGTCGTGCAGAATGGCGTTCCCCATCTGACAGCAGCGTTACAAGCTTTGAGGAGATGGCGCGATTTTGTACGAGATCCTTGCGGTCCTGAATGAGGTTTCCTACACAGAGCTGGTGAGATGAGTTCACACGGAGGCAGAAGGGCAGACATCTTTCAAGTTTCTTAACATGTTTCTCTCCGCCAAAGACAACACCTGGTCCACAGCAAGTCAGTCCACAACAACTTCCTGGCTGCTGCGTCCACCACGGGGTCACGGTCGCTTGCAGTGACGAGCTTTGCCTTGGTCAGAACAGCAGTGGCTCCTCCAAGGTTATGTATGTCACCTTGGCCCCAAGAAGGGATGCTGTGATGGATCCGAGGCCTGTCCCTGGTAGTGTTTTCTCCTTGTAAGAAGTGGAGCACGGCAAACGGGGCAGCAGGCAACCGCATCCAAGCTCCAATACATTCTTATCCTTCCACAACTCCTTGGGAAGCGACTGTGGGGCACAATGTGTGAGATAGAAACTGAGCATCGCGATTTCTGCCACATGCCTGCATATAGTCTGTCAACACAACATTTCCTTCGTATACTGCAAGCCCGTTCTTCCTCTTGGACGTGAATTCCTTCCGTGCAACCAGGTCAGATTTTCGTGCCACACCCAAGTCACTCTGCAAAACCTGTTCAAGAACAATGTCCTTCCCGCCTCTATTGAATGTCCTGGTTTCCTTGGGACATGAATTATTCGCATTGGGGCAAATCAGGATGATGCAGATCTACCTTGAATCCTTCCCACTCATCAGCCAGAGGGTTCAGATTGACCGCTCCTTGTGCGTACACCTAGGGGGGAGGAGACGGTCGTTAACAACGAGGAGAGCGAAAGTTCAGAAAGGATTCGTCCTTCTCTTCTTGACAATGCCCTACCTTCATCGGTGCAAGAGCTCCGAACTGAGGGTTGAACCAGTCAGTAGGCTACTCAATCTTTGGCTCGTCAGCCCTTACCGTCATCATCTTCCTCATCACATCCCTCCTTGTCTCGCTGCTCATCCTCAGCTTCGTTGTCATCGTTCCTTGCCATGCTGATGACCTACACAAGACGGAAAGTAGCATGAAGGCGGCAAGCTTCATCCTCCCCTTCCCCGGCCCCGCCACGGAGAGCCAGGCGAGCATGGCAGATTATCACGTAAGGTCTCTTGAGTCAGGTTGGCAGGAGTCTCAACTAGCTGTCCTTCAGTTTTCAATAGCAATAGATTGAGGCAAGCTTGATGATACTTTAACTAAAAATTGAAACAAAAAAAACACCAACATGTCCTGAGGCGGACTGTCGGGATGCGGCACGGCGCAACGACACGTTGAGCTCGCCTCAGATCGCTGGAGGCGTGTCGCAACATTGAAAATACGTGTTTTGGGAGATTTCTTCGGGACATGAGGAGTGCGATCTAAAACAGTCGGTCGGATCAGCATCGCAATTCGATCGATGAAGGGCTACAACATTGAGGCTTTTGGAAGATAATAACCTGTTTAATCGCATCGCTTCATTTTCGGCAAACAGGCATATTCGAGAAAACAGAGAAATCCCTCGTTTGGCGGATCGATGTGTTGTCTAGTCAAAGTGGTTCTATGAAACTAATTTTTCGCTGGGAGATGACGTGTGCGACGTGCTTCGTCCCAAGTGATGCGATCCCGGTAAGGGAAGCCCCCAATAAAAAGGAGTCCCTCCCCGCCACCAGCACTCCACGTTCCTCGCTCCACCCTCTGATTATCCTGCAACGCACAAGAAGCTCCTGCCACCTTCCAGACATGGCCTCGCAATTTCTCAACCAAGACTCCGTCACCATCGCACCTCGCCCTCGGGCTGGAGAGCGTCAGTCGCCCCTCGAGGTTCGCCTCAGTGTCGATGCTCTTGCGCCACTCTTCAATACACCGCAAGATCAAGCTGCACAGCTCCTCGGAATCTCCCTGACCAGCTTGAAGTCTGCTTGCAGACGCCTTGGAATACCTCGCTGGCCATACAGGCGTGGAACAAAGAAAGAATCAAATGATAGTATCACAAGCGAAACAAGAACGGAAATCGTGACTGCTTGGTTTGAAGAATCTGCCACTTTGTACCAGAACAAACATTCCACAAGTGCTCTGCAAGGTGAATCAGAAGCAACAAACTCCTGGATAGATGAGTTCTCTCCAAGGGCACATCTCTTTTGCGAGGAGCAAGTGAATGAGGCACTAGCAAACGAGTTCTTAGTAGTCGAGGACGGTGATGAAGATACCTCAAATCAAGCCAACGATAGAATGGGTGAATGGATAAAGTGGTTTGTCACATGCGAAGACGATGACATGCATATCAGACCTTTCTATTAAATCAAAACTTAATATATCTGCTCTTCAAATAAAATAAATATCAATCATTAATACACACTGTCGAAAGTGAGTGAGGAAGAAGTAAATTTTGATAAATTTTCATTGAAAAAGCATCCCCCCCTCCCCTTGGTATGCTCCTTCTTCCTCCCATCCCGTGTACCATCCTACCCAGCCATCCTCTCCAACCTGCCCCCTCCCTCCCTTCTCCAGACCCATCCCCGTCTCCTCTTCAACATCCCCTGCCTGCCCGTCCTCTGATTGCCATGACCCTACATCATCCTCCCCGGCTATTCCCTCCTTGTCTCCTTCTTCCTGCCCCACCTTGCCTTCTGTAACCGCGTCCGCCCAGCCCAGCCCAGCCCCATCCTGGCATGACCCGTAGCCTTCCTGCGCTCCTGTCTTGCCACTTGACGCTGCCGTAGCGCTCGCCGAGCCCTCCTCCGGTCTGAACGATCCGTGCATCGTCGTCAGGGATCTCTTCCCCCGCTTGAAAGGCCAACGCGTCAGCCCAAGCCTGCGGCAGGCCGACTTGAGGCTGCTCAGAGACATTCCGAGATGGGCGGCGGCGTCTTTTTGGGAGATATGGAAGAGAGAGGAGAGGGTGGGGATGTCGAGGCGGACTTCGATGGGGGAGAAGGAGGAGTGAGGACGGAAGCGAGGAGCGACCACCACGGAAGATCCACGCATTTTGGCAGGCGCAGCAATTCCGTCCCTGAGTTTACTACAAGGTAACGTGACTTGAAATTGGATAACGTGACGGTCGCACTGGCACGACAACAAGGGTTCACACTGGCACGACAACAAGTTGCTCCGAGTCTATTATCATTAATAAATTATATCCCGACCTTCATATCTACTAGTCTGCGCCCCCCTCTCATCCGCTGCCTTTCCTTGTCTGATCATTCCCAACCCACCTCTCTTCAGTGCACTTCCACCATGGCTTCAGTCTCCATCGCTCCCCGGCCTCGCCCCGGCTCCTCTGCTCCCTCCCATGTCTCCCTCTCCCTCCAGGCTCTCTCCCCTCTCTTCCACACCCCTCAGGATCAAGCTGCTCACGTCCTCGGCATCTCCCTCACCAGCTTGAAGTCTGCCTGCCGACGCCTGGGCATCTCCCGCTGGCCGTACAAGCGAGGAGGAAATAGATCTCAGCCGGTGCAGGAAGCACAGCAAATGAATCGAAATGCTTTTGAGTCCTACGAAGCATGGCTGCAAGAATTCTTACCGGCACAGCATCGACAGGACGTTGCGAGTTCAGATACTTCATATATTTATGATCAGAAGATTTCATCGGAAGAAACGGGCAGTGATCTGAATGCGTGCAGCATGCTGGTAGACCAAGAGAACAGAACAATTGAGCCAGAATACCTTGAAAACGACAACAACTCCATTCTCCATCTTACAGAAAATGGTGAGGTTGTCATGGTGAATCCAGCAGAATGGATAGATCTGTACTTGCCAAGGGTCGACGACGACATCAAAATGCCCAATTGGTCTCCAGAGATTTTTGCGTGATTGTGATCATGATCTTAACCTGAAATGAGATTTTAGAGTGAACTTGTGCCTGAAATAAAACTACTTCAACGATGAGTCTCCCTGTACGTGAACTCTCCTCCTACATCCCATACGATTCAAGTCTGCCGTGCCTGCCGTGCCTTTACAGGGCCGGCTGCGATGGCTCGAGGTCAGGAGTGTCTGACCTTCGTGACCATAAAACGAGGGGGGGTCGTATCAGGTACGGTGAAACTGAAAGAGATTTCGTTCGTGACCTACGGTGAACAATGAGGGGTCTGTTGATCAGCTCTTGTGTGTAAGCCATCAGCATTACTCGTCCTTGCTTTCACTTAAAAGGTACATTTGTGATCTCGAAAGAATAAAAATATTTCTTCAAAATCTCTTACCATTCTCAAAAGGCTTTTTGCTCTCTTATGAGGGTCGGAGGTAGCCAGCGCGATAGCGCGGCGGTGTGTGCCAGCACACACAGCAAGGGGACTCTTCACTCATCTTTTCTATGGAACTTGTTAGCCTTGAACTGACTACAGGTTCTGGGGGTTTCCGGAGTGGGAAAGGTCCTGGAGGTTTTCTGAAGAAGTTGTGAAATCAAGGGATTGCTTAGACACTGAGGGGACCTGTAGAATACTTTTGAAATATCCCCCAGAACTTCATTTCATACTTTAATCTCTCTTAAAGAGATTCTTAAATCTCTTTAAAGTAAATATTACCTATCATGAACCATCACAAGTGCTATCTTTATTTGTTTGCAAGCAAACAAGCAAGTAAGCCATCGTACTACGGTACCATCAGCTAATCACTCTCAGAACCTGCTGCCTCCTCATAAGACTTCTTCGCACTGCTGCCAGTTGAAGTCCTCGTCTTGCGAGCTGGATTCTGAAGCTGCGTCGTGACTCTGTTGTGGGTCTCTGCGAGAGCCCTCTCCATGAACAGGCTGGTGAGCTTAATCTTCTTCACCTCAAGATGCTGGATCGCCAGATTGCAAAGCTGAAAGAAGATGTGCCCATTGCTACATACGTAAGTTATGGTGTAAGAGATAAGCTCACTGTCATCAGCGTGAACGCCTTCACATTCCTTTGGAACCCAGTTCTTGTAAAGTCATTCTTGGCGAGGGAGAGCATCAGCTTCAAGAAGAAAGCTTTAGCTTCAAGAAGAAAGCATCAGCTTCAAGAAGAAAGCATCAGCTTCAACAAGGTTCTTCTTCGAGCTCCCCTTCTGAAACCAGTTCTTCAGCCAGCTTGGGTAGATGGCCTGAGAAATTTCTGCACTGAAGCAGGGATGCGCATATCAAATCATCAAATGGCGGGTAGGGGTCCTCGAGTCTCTATCGGACCCGTCCTTTGACCTGATAATTCCAGGTATGAGGGGTACTCTAAGGTAGGGTGGGAGTTGGAAAATAGAGGGAACTCCGAGGGGGGCCCGATATCAGGTCAAATCCAACCATCACATCCATCACCTGCTTCGGATCAAAAGCGGGGAGAGCAGCAAGCAGGAGGCAGGACGCAGGAAGCAGGAAGCAGGACGCAGGTGGCAGGAGGCAGGAGGCAGGAGACAGGTGGCAGGAGGCAGGAGGCAGGAGGCAGGAGGCAGGGGCAAGGAGCAGAGGAAGGGGAAAGCCGGGGCAAGAGTTCTGGAATGACTTGCAGCATCATCTTCGCTATCCTCCTTGCCTTATGGATCCCCATGGCGGGAAGCTACGTCATCTCAGGCTCGCTCACCTGGGAGAGGATCGGGGTGGTTCCTCAGATGCTGGTATCTCCTCAAGATTGCGTGCAGTATCTGGACGTGCTCCTCCCTTCAGATCAAGTGTCTACGTGCACAAGGGCACCGGCGAAGATCCTCTTCCATGTCTCTCTCCTCGTACACAGCTCCTTCTTCGGCGCCGGTGCGCCCGGGGGGGTGGGCGGGGAGGTGGATGTCAGCTCAAGCTTCAAATTCAGCCTCGGGGATGCCGGTGCGACAGCTACCTCCTTGAAGTTCAGAGTGGTGGGCATCCGAGACTTCATGGTCGGGTCCGTCGCACACAAGGCCTTCCAACTCCGTTACGATCTCGTCCGCCTCTACAGCTGCTCGAGCTCCCTGCCTGAAGTCATAGCATCCTTCGAGGGTGTCAATCGGTTCTCCCAGTGCACGACTACGTCAAGTCAGATCTGCCTTGCTCCTGCTCCAGAAGCAGGCGATAGTCTCTGCAGCACTGCCATGGCGAACTACTCCAGCTCTCCTTTCCGCCTGACTACCAGGGTGACGTTTGCTGAGTGTGCTGGTACGAGCACAGGCTACAACGAGTATCAGATGAGCCCGTTGAACAACCATCACTCTCCCGTAGCACCGATGCTACCGATCTTCACCATCCCCCTGGTGTCAGATGCAAGTCGGACTGTCAGTCTTGCGCTTCCAGGTGAGCTCCCTGGACCCTAGGAATCTTTCTGATCGACGTCAGGTTTTGATGAGGACGGTGCAAGCAAGGCTACCAACTGCGTTGAGTCTTGTAACAACGTTGACATGACTTGGGATATAGCAAAGGTGTCGACCGATGGGTATACACTTTCCTGCCATTCTGATTACACTGCTGGCGTTCGAGGTGTGCCCTTGTTTACGTCGATCCCCTCAACTTCTCCCCTCCCTTCACTTGTCCCTGTTCATTTCGGTTTTTCTTCTCCATACTCGACTTGACACTACCTCCTCCTCCTCACTCCCTCACTCACTCACTCACTCACTCACTCACTCACTCACTCACTCACTGCCTCTTCGTTCTTGGAGTCACTCCTCTTTCTTTCTCCTTACACTTTAAACCTCCTCTACCTTCTTGCTTCTTTCCGGGTCACGTTGCGCTCTGTTGGCAGGTCAGTGGAAGCTCAGCCCCAACGACGTCGCGGCAGGAGGGGGGATGCAGCTTGCGCTCCAGGGACCGATGAAAGGGCAGACCAACGGCAGCCCCGTTTACCCTCTCCGGCTCAAGGTCACAGATAGGCTTCAGGTCTATGTCTACTTGGAACTCGCCATGATCGTCTGCCCTACCATCTCCCTCTACACCTTCGGCGTGGTCAACGTGACCGTCGATCCAACTGATCAGGTCGATGCTTGTTCCGCTCCCACCTTGTCCTCTCTGCCCCATCGCTCGATGGCCCTTAAACCACAGTCCCCGTCCCCATGTGACACAGGAGGAGCAGGTGAGAAACCTTGCCCCTATCTTCGTCGCCCTCGGACCGAGGCATTCGCCTCCACCACGGCTCATAGAGTGCTTCGTTGGGTCCTCTTGCTCTTTCAACGTTTCAGCCGTCGCCTACGACCTTTCTTCCTCCAAGGTCTGCTACTGGGACCTCCAGCCGGGTGTCTCCGACTCGCTCCTCTGCGACAGGAGCTTGCAGACGATGACTGGGGGGGACGCGGTGGAGATTGACACACAGCAAGCAGCCCTCCAGGGATGCAAGGACGCCATGCAGGTGTCGCCCGGCACTTCCAACTGCCACCTCTTCGTCAAGCAGCCCACCGCCAACAACACAGCTCTCCTCACTGTCTCAGTGTTTGGGAGTCGCCCGTTGGCCGCGCACCCCGTCGAGTCGGACACTGGCCGCAAGCTCGCCATGTGCTTCCAAGCAAGGAAGTGCCCTACTTGTTGTTACGGCCTTCCGCATTGTGTTACCATTCACATCTTCGGCCGCAAGCCAAGGATTGTTGCCCCAGGTGCAGTTGTGTGCAAACCCCCCCTCTCCTCCTTCTCTGTCCTGCCTCCCGTGCCTATCCTCCCCTCTCCTCCATCCCCCCCTTCCCACCCCTCCCCCTCTGCTTCCCTCCCTCCCTCCCCTCCCTCCCTCCCTCCCTCCCTCCAACTCTGCCACTGAGTCTTTTTTGATCCTCCGCCAGGTCTCTCTCCCACCTGCAAGTTGTTCTCCTTCTTCTCCAACGAGAGCTTTCAGAGCAACGTCCCCAACATCGACTTCAGCAGCGACTGCGTCAACTTGCCCGCGTGCTGGAAGCAGCTAACAAGACATCCAGACAACTCGCCCGGCAGGCCTGAGGCGAACGGATGGCCTTCCCAGGTCCTCCTGAGCCTGCTCTTCCTCCTCTCCTCCTTGTCGTTCCTGTCCGATCTCCTCGTCGTCCTTGCATGCGCTGTTACCACTCCCTCCTCCTGCACTTCATGACTGCCTTCCAGTACGCGCAAGGAGCAGCCACCACCAACTTCCTCTTCACAGCAGTCGACGATGACTACGGTGACACGGTTACAATGAACTTCCTGGAGCAGCCCCAGTACTCGAGCATCTTCTTGCTGGATCCGGCGTTCGTCAGCAAATCCACCAGCACAAGATACTTGCAGGGAGCCTGCTACTCTACAGACTTGTACCAGCAAAACCCGCACTGCTCAGTAGCTTCTCTCTTCCTCAACGTGACTGTCACCTTCGGCAACACCAACGGAACGGCTCCGATGACGTTTGTGCAAGGCGGGGACCGGCAGTCAGTGCTCTTCACCAGCGACAAGCAGGTCTGCTTCATTGCAACAGACAACCAGGTACCCTTATCCTCTTCCTCCACCACCACACTCCCTCCCTCCCTCC